GGGCATCGGACACAGTGGCAGCTTGCCGCCCTCTCCTCGCCACCGGCTCCGATCTTCCTCCCTCTCTGGTGGGTGGCTCTCCTTCCCTCTTCTGCCTTTCCAGTTCTTTAGCCCACTTTTGAGCATCAGTTTCTCTCTTTTTCAGTCCTTCTCCATGTGCTATTCCTTCCAAACCTTTCCCACCTTCTTCCTTCTCTCCTCTGTCTTTTCCTCTCCCTCTTCTGTTGTTCTCTGGTTTCCATGTTTCTCCTTCTCCTCCCCCATTTCTCTCGATCCTCTCTTCTGTCTCCTCACTTACTTCTCCATCCCTCCTCTCTCCAGCCCTCTCTCCCTCCTCTCTGCATGAGCCAGAGCTCACGTCTGCATGAACATGGGCCCCACGCTAGCCTTAGCCTTGCCTGCTGGGAACAATGTCTGGAATGACTAGACTAACATTCAGAGTCCCCTGCGGAGATACAGGCCTTTGCAATGAGGGTGCTCAGTGAGGGCTCCGGACAGTTCAGCACTCTGGCCACCCTGGCCAGACTGCCTGGGCTGCAGGGCTAGGTCTCAGCAGGAGCCAGGCTGAGCTTTGCTTGGGGCCACCAGACACAACATAGAGTGGTGCCCCAGCCCCTGCTGCTCTGTCCACTCTTGAGCATGGCACATCCTGGGGACAGCATACCCCTTTGGTCCCACTCCTAATCTCTGATCCCATGGCTGAGAGTCAGAAGCCCTGGGTTGGGGTCCTGGCCCTGCCTGAGACCACCTCTGCGACTTTGGGCAAGTCTCTTAACTACTTAGAGCTCAATTTCCCAATCTGAGAAGTGGACAGATGATAGTCCTGTCCTGTTGTATATTTTGCACGGGGTTTGACATGCCCTGGACCTCGTGGATGCTTCACTGGGGTCACGGTAGTTCATTTGAGAATGATGCCATCCACTAACATCTACCTCTGACCTCTGGGACACGCAGGCCCTTAGGCGTTGAGCCCGGGCCAGGGAATCACCTCTTCCTTCCCCTGCTCTTCTGACCCTGGAGGCTGGGTCAGGGAAGATGCCGTGCTCAGGCTTGCCCCACATCATGGCCCTGAGCAGCTCCAGGAAAAGGCCTAGGGGTGATGGGAACTGTTGATTCCCAATGGCAGTATCTGGTGCCTCCATGGCCCCTCCTTCTCCCAGGCCAGGGATGATCAGGAGATGGTTCTAGCAGACTGCTCCCTTCAACCGCCCCTCCCTCCTCTCTTCTCCCTCTGCCCTTCTCTCAGCCCAGTGGTGGGGAGTGCAGTGTTCAGCAGGGCCTGGGTAGGGGCAGGTTCTGGGATGGTGGGCCTGCCTTAAGGGGAGCTGGCATGGCTTGCCCTAGGGCTGCTAGTGTGATCGCCGTGTGGCTTTCTGGTGCCCTGGCCCAGCAGGTGGCCCTCGCTTCCGGAGCCCCAGGCATGCTGTCGGACACCCAGCCCTGCCACCTGGAGCTGAGGAATCCAGTCTTTTGGAAACCGGAAGACTGGAAAGAAGAGCTGGGCCTGTGAGGGTGGCAGTGGCCAGTCTTGGGGGTGCAGAGGAGGCACATCATGAAGCCTGACACCAGCGTACTTGTCCGCGTGATCCAGGGGCGGCGGGCAGCAGTGCTTTGCCAAAGTACATGTATCGGTCTGTGTCAGGGCTACAGCTCCCAGAATTGCAGGGTGTGTGAGTGTGCATGTGAGTGTGTGTGTGTGTGTGTCAGATGAAGGGATTGCCTCCAGCAGTCCGGCCCACGCTAGGGGAGCCTTGGAGTGAGCTGTTGTCCAGCACAGCACTGTCCTGGCAGCAGAGCGACGCCTCCCTGGGAAGGGGGCTGCTCTGGTGTCGTGCTCCTCAGGACTGGGGGCCTGTGTGGAATCCTGGGGCCAGGGTAACTGCTCATCCTGGCAGGGCTGTGGGGAAGGCCTGATGCCCATGTATGAAGCAGCCCTTAGAGGACCCCCAGGGCTCCTTGAACATAGGCTGTTAGGATCCTAAAGATACTTTGTTGTCATAAGGGCACCCCAGCCTTCTCAGCTTCCTGGGAGCTTCTCTTCCTTTCTTCCTCTGGCCACATGGCCTCCTGCTGGGATAGGGGCTGACCCTAAAGGTTCTGAGGGTGACCCAGTGGCCCCACTATGTACCCCCATCATCCCAGTGTCTTGCTGCCATTTCTGTTAGGCTGTGTGTGTGTGTGTGTGCACATGCAAGCATGCACATGTGTGTCTGTGCAAGGCACCTGCCTCCGCCTGGGTAGGTGTAGAAGACCTGAAAGAGAGAATGGGCCAAAGACTGAGAAAGTCTTGGGGTGGAGGGTGGTGGTGGGAGGGAGGGAGGTGGGGAGAGCAGGCCTGTTTTTATTATCGGTCAGCCTCTGAGACGTGAGAGAGAGTGTTCTCTCCCTGACACTGGCTGTCAGCTTGTGTCCAGACACCCCAGCTTGGCTAAGGAACAATGGGGCTCTCTTCTCTCCCCTCTGCCACGCCAGTCTCCCCTCCCATAGAGCAAGACAAGAGAGAGGGAACATGTCTCTCCAGACACTCCAGGCAGATCTGGGCTTGCCAAGGGGGACAACAGTGGGACACTGTGTTCAAAGAATGTGAGTGGCCCTGACTGGCCATTGGTGCCATGGGGCCACTGGTGCTCTGCAGGGGGAGGGGCTGGCCCCGTGGGAGTGGAATGCAGGGTCTTCCCCCCTCTGCAGAGGGAGGTGCTGCCCTGCAGCTCCTTAGCTCTTAGGAGGTCATTCCCTCCATTTCCCTGCCTCTGGTCAGAACATGCTCCCACGTGCCATTCTGGTGGTGATGGAGAGAGGATTGGGAAGGTGCAGCTCACCTTCAGATGGCTGACTGCCTCATGCCAGGATCTCACATTCTCTATGGTTGTCAGGTGCCCCCTGCACCCCAGGCTGCTGCAGGCATCCGTGGCCCCTGAATGTGGAGAAAGCTTTGGGAAGGTTGGGTAGAATGTTCTTGGTTTTTCCAGGAGATTCGGTGCCTCAAATGCAAACAGATCTATTTTTTAAGGGCAAACGTCAGATCCCCCAGCAGGGAAACTGGCCACACCTTGAAAAGCAGAGGGATCTGCCAGAAAGAGCTGCTGGGGGCAGAGGAGCCCGGAACTGAGACCAGCCTTAATGCGTTTCTTTTAACCTTGGGGCTGAACTCAGTTCCAAACCCCAAGAGCGTTTCCCAAATGGGCTGCTTCTGTCACAATTATTGTTAGAAAATCAATGGCTATGTCTGTTTCTCTCTAATGTTTTTGCCAGGAATGAAACCAGTGGCAGTGTTGGTCCAAGCTGCCCAGGAGACCTGAGTGAGATGGGGGCTCTGGGGAGCTGAGGCCTGGGAGTGTGGGGTTGCTGCAGGAAGCAAGCTGCCCACCCTTCCCAAAACCACACTGTTGTTTTCTCCAGGTAGATGCTCCTGCAGCCCCTGGCTGGGTCTAATGGGACTCCGATTTTTCTGCTCTGTGAATAAGGGCTCTTCAAGGCACGGGGCTTATTTACTTTAAGTGGAACAGATTGTAAGTGGCAGAGTGAGGACAGCATCCAGTTTATTGTCCCCATGCTGGGTGCTATTTTCTTAGCTGAGATGGCAGCAGGGCTGCCCCTGATTAATAAAGAGCCCAAAGTGGAGACTCAGGGCATCTCTCGGTACCTTCTGCATTTAATGTGCAAATGCTGGTCCTGCTGCTCTCCCGACGCACCCCCCACCCCCGATTATGGGAGCCCCTGATTATGGGAGAGTATGAGGGCATGTCTCAGAGTGGCTTTGCCTATGTGAGTGTGAGTGTGTGTCTGCCCATAGGCTTGGCAGCCGGCAGCCTGCTGTTCATGACAAGTAGGAAGTCTTCACAGGTGGTGCTGTTTGTGGCAGCCTTTGTGGCTGTGCCAGATTAGGGGTGCTGGGAGGCGCACCTGGGGACATGCAGTCCTCACTGTGGATGGCAGATGTTTCTGTCTGAACGCGGGTGATTTCTGCTTGGCTGTACTGGCACATTCCTTGGGGCTGGCAGTGTGTGTGCGTGTGTGCACACGCACTGACCCATGTGACCTGGGGCCTTTGGTAAGTCCTAGCGGTGGTGAAAGCAGGGCTGGGAATCTCTTCCCAGAAGATATTCAGGACCAGAAGCCCACACTTCAGGCTGGGTCTTGGCCTCTGGGACCCAGGAAGTGAGTTTTCTAGGATTCTGGGAACCAGCTCAATGAGGCAATGGATTCCATGCCTCAGCCCAGCTGTGGGAAGAGGGAGTGGGAAGGAAGGAGGGTGAGATTAACAGCATCCCCAGGCCTGTGGAATGGGATTGGGATGGGAAGTGCAGAAAAGCAGATGGAGCACATGACTTCTCTCTGCCTGCTCTTCAGCTGGGAGGGACACGGTGGGATCTGCCGCCATCTTTGGGGCGGGGAGCTAAGGGGCCAGTATAAGGGGAGTTGGTAAGAGGTTCAGTGGTATACTGGATGAAGTTGGGGAACCCCAGAGAAAGCCAAAATTATCCCAGAGGCCAAGTGGGGCTGGGAACTTCATAACTTAGTCATGTCTTTGTTTCTCCTTGGGAGCACCATTTGCAAGATGATGCAATTTAGCTCTTTCCAAGAGTTCTTCCCCACAGGCTTGATGTTGCTGGTTGGTTGATGCAGTTGCCTTGGAGACTCTCTTTTCCTTCCACCTCCCCTCCCTTGTCTGGAAGCTCTGGCCCTCCGCCTCCAGGGGTTGGAAGTAGTTGACATCTGTTTCTTGTATCAGTCCTTTGTGTTCTTGGTCTCAGCCCTGTGTGGAGAGATTCCTGGTGAAGTCTGAGCCAATCTAAGCAGATCCCCTCTCTTGCAGAGAAAACCTGGGGTGTGAACAGAGTTGGGCCCAGGAGGGCTGAGGGGAAGACACTGGGGGATGGCAGGCCAGCCCCAGCTTGGCCTCTGAGCTAGGAGGCACTGCCTTCTCTGAAGGGATTAGGCCGATGGATCATTTCTTACACAAAACGCTCATTGTCCTCTACACCCTGCTTTCCTCCCAGGGGTGCAGGCTCGGGAGAAGCAGCCTGCAGAGCCCCCAGCCCCTCTGCGGAGGCGGGCGGCCAGTGATGGACAGTATGAGAACCAGTCTCCAGAAGCCACATCCCCTCGTAGCCCTGGGGTTCGCTCCCCTGTCCAGTGTGTCTCCCCCGAGCTGGCTCTTACCATCGCTCTCAATCCTGGAGGGCGGCCCAAAGAGGTGAGTCCTTAAGCTGTATCTTGGGGCCACAGAGGGTGCCTACTTCAAATCTCCAGAAGCCTGACGGGCAACTTGGCACTAATGTCAGTATACTCAGTGATTTGTCTCCCCTGTGTCCTCACCCAACCTCTCTTCTCTGACATGCAGAATCTGGGGCCCATTTCCTTCCTTAAATAGCTTTATGTCCCCACTTCTTGCATTAATATTGAGATTGAAGTTTCTTTTTTGATTCCTAGACAGTACCTTAATAAGGTGGTAAGAATCCTGGGGATGGTATAGGTGAACACAATTTCAAAACTCCAGACTAGATCCTGGAGAGGGGAAAAATTATTTTTGAACCCTTTGCAGTTATAAGGTTTTTCTCAGGAGCTTTAATTTTCATTCCAAAAGGTTTGCATTTCTAAGACATTTCAGTAGTTGAAGGCAGTGAGTCTCAAACTACAGCATGAGTAAACCAAAAGGGAGTTTGTTAAAACTGTAGCTTCCCAAATCCTCCTCCAGAGATTCCAGGGTAGTAGATCTGGATGGGACCCGGGAATCTGCATTCTAAATGTGTGCCCTGGAAGATTCAGATGTAGGTGGTCCACGGGCCACATTGAGGGAGCGAGTGTACTGGCCTATAAAAGCCAGGCTAATGAGTCATTCTGGATAGAAGGGGCTTGTGGATATCTTTTCTCTCCTGCCTCTGGCAGGACCTGTCTCCTGCCCTGAGCACCAGTGAGGAGGCAGTCTGACGAGGGGGTTTGGGGGCTGGTTAACTCACTGTCCTCATACCCCAGGTCATCTGAAGGGGAAACTTCTCCTTCTCATGGTTTCCCTCTTTTTCTGCCTGTATTATCCCACAGCCCCATTTGCACAGCTACAAGGAGGCCTTCGAGGAGATGGAGGGAACCTCCCCGAGCAGCCCACCGCCGAGTGGGGGTAAGAATTCCCTGTGAAGCTCGTCTTCCCTGTGTCCCCTTCAGCCCCTCAGCTCAACTCTGCCTGTGGGAGTGCCCCAGGCCTGAGGGTTGGAGGTGACAGTGCCCCAGGTGGGGCCAGAACGTGCTGCTCCTCATCCCCATGGCCCCTTCTCTTCCATTGCTTGTGGCCATTGTCTTCCCCATCGTCCACGCTCACACATCTAAGGGTGCAGCCGCCCCAGTTTTAGGGTCCAGACTGAGTGACCGTGGGACTCTGGGCTCCCACATTACAGAGTTTTCTTACTTGTTTAGAGTCTTGTTACCGTCCACACTCAAAAGACCCCACCATCTTAGCGTGACTCTTTGTGACTTGACTTTGGCTTTGTTTCTGACCTCCATTTCTGCCTGTATCCAGACACCTCTTCCATTACAGGCAACCTATTTAGCTTCTACCAAGGAGAGAGGGACTCAGGACCCTCAGGCTGACACAGCCCCCAGCTTATCCATCCTTGTCCTCCAGGCAGAGACAGTTAGCCCCCAGCCCCTATACACTTACTGGGGAGGCAGATCCCCAAAGGACAGAGACACGTCCACCTAAAGCCAAGACCCAAATGAGCCGAGGCATGGGGCAGTGTTCCTTTTTATAGAAGAGACATGAAGAGGAACTGGAGGAGGTGGCTGTGGGGAAGGAAGTGATGGATTAATACCAGGCCGCGAGGGACTCAGTGTACTCAGGAGAGGCCTGGGTCAGCACAAGAAGGAGACACTGGTGCTGTTCAGGGATCAGGTTGGCTGGGCCTGGCCCAAGCTATCCACTGGCAGTGGCGAGAGGAGGGAGAACTGGAGCTGGCTGTACATTCCCCTGGGGGCTGGCTGTCCTGTACTGGAAAGGAATGTGGCAATGTACGTGGCCCATGTGCCAGCAGAACTTGTGTTGGCTGTCATCTTGGGCATGAGGAGGCTGAAGCTGTGACTGACTGGCGGCCCCTGGAAGCTGTGGCTCTCCCTTGAGCAGTACTGTCCAATGGAAATATAATATGAGCACATTTATAATAAAATTTCTCTAGTAGTCACGTTAAAAAACATAACAGGAAACTGGCTAAATTAATTTTAATGACATTTTTGTTAAATCCAAAATATCCTTTCGATAGGCAAATAAGTCAATACAAATATTGAGCTATTTTACAATCTCTTATAAAATGTAAGAAGAAACTGGTGAAATTCATTTTACTATGTTTTATTTAACCCCAGTCTAGAATATTAGCATTTCAACATATAATCAATGTGAAAAAGAACGGGATGTTTTGTGTTCTTTTTCATACTCAGTCTTGAAAACCCGGTGTGTGTTTCACACGTATGGCATATCTCCGTTCACACTAGTCACTCTGCAAGTGCTCTGCGGCCATGTGTAGCTTGTGGCTGCTGTGCTGGACAGGGTGAACCTAGAGCAGGTGACGCGAGAGTCAACGCTGCAGCCGCTTGTGGCCGCGGGGAACCTCTCTCCCAGGCCTTCACTTTCCAAGCTGACATCTGCTTCCATTCACTGTTAGCCCTAAATGGCCAGGGAAAGGGCAGCACCCTGCCTGGGGTGGGAGCCACCTGGGCTGTGCTAGCGCTGGGTTTTGCCGCCTTCTCTCCCTCCTGTTGGCCAGCCATGGATGCCTTGGCAAGAAGAAGTCAGAGGTTCCACAGACACACAGGGTTAGGGAGAGAAGACAGAAGGCAGAGAAACGTGTGGAATTTTTCTCTCAGGAAGCAAAAGGCTTGCCTGGCTTTAGTGTCGCCCACTCATCTGCCTCAGCAGAAGGGCCCACTTGCCCAGGAATCGGAGGAATGAGGAATTCAGGAGCTGGAGGTGAACAAGGGAGGAACCAAGAGAGAGTTCCTGCCCTGTCTGGTCCTCTCATCTCGTTCACCTCCTCGTGGGTCCACCTGTGCCTCCGCTGCACCAGTTGGTTACACATGCACATACCTGTGCGCTGGGGCTGCTTTGTGATTATTCCACGAATGACTGTCTCTGAGGCCAGGTGTATTATTTCATAACTAATTTCATTCAATCGCCATTGGTTTGACAAACATTAATAAGTGTTTGATAGGTGTCTATGAGCAAGACACCATGATAGGGAAGAGGGGGTGTGGCAGTGGTAGAAACAGAATCTGTGTGTGTGCATCTGTGTGTGTGTGTGTGTGTGTGTGTGTGTGTGTGTGTGTGTAAAGACAGAGGGAGGATAGACAGAGACATATCCCATAACTGGAGGTGTACGTTTGTACCCATTTGTCCCCTATGCTGTGTTTGTCCTTTGGACATCCAAGGACAGAGTGAGGGTGAAGGGCAGGGGTGGGCCACCCATCCGGACCCCTGTGATGTCTTCCTGTTCCCATGTGCATGTGGGTGTTCACCTGCACGAATGAGTTATGTATGTTGCTTGCATGGAGAGAGAGTATATTTTTTCGTTATTCTAAGATTCCTGTAGGTCTCACTGTCTTTTGGGGAGAGCAGCAGGGGCAGGGAGGGTCGTGGAGCTTTTGCTGCTGGTGGTTCCTGGGCATCTGAGGGCCACGGCTAATCTGTTGAGGCCATTCGGCAGGCAGAGTGTCCTTGGGGCTGTGGTCTCTGCAGGCTCCCAATGTCGCTGATAGGAGACACAGAGTTCATTTTTTAACTCCTTCTCAGAGCTGTGTCAGGACACATGGCAGCTGCCACCCAGGTATCTCGTGACTGGGCATAACAGCCACCCTGCAGATCAGCTCCGAATCTGGCCGGGTTCTTGGCTAATGGGAAAAAGCCAGCAGCCCTTTCTGACCTTGCATGTTACATGACACTTGTAACCCAGATGCGTGGCCTGGGAGGAGCCCAGGCTTTGCATAGGGAGTAGGTGCTCTTGGCCACAGACTGCAGCCTTCTCCTCCTTCCAGGACACTGAGGTTTAGGGGGACAGAGTCCCACATTGAGAAGTTCTCTCCTCCTGGGCTTTTCAAGGGACATGCTTGGCCAAGGGCTGGCCTGAGGTCTCAGGGTTGGCATAACCCTGGCCCATTATCTCCTTCTGTCTCTGTCCTTTACAGGGTGTGCCATCCTGAGGCCCAATTTTCTTCTATTCTCTTCTGAATCCATCCAAGTGCATGTTTTAAATGGACTCTGTGTGTGTGTGTGTGTGTGTGCGCACGCGCGCGCGTGTGCGCGCATGTTGGGTGGGGGGAGGAAGAGGGATGAGCGATTATTATAGAGAAGGTCAGAGACAGTTGCAGAAGCCTGCATGTGTGTTATAAGCCATTGCAAAGTAAAGGGACCGCACCCAGAAGCTAAGGGCCTGGGGGTGGAAATGGTTCTCTTAAGGTTGGGGCCAAAGCCAGGACAAGGTTGCCATTTCCTGAATCTTTCCCTCTATCCTTTAAACTGCTCAAACGTGGAGAAATGCAGACAGGAAAGGGCAGTGGAGCCAAAGCGCTGGGCTTCAGGGTGGTTCCTCGGCACCATCTCTGGCCCCACAGCCTTCATGTGCCTGGTGTGTCTACCTTCCTGCCCACCTCTCACTCCCTGTGTCTCCCCTCTTCTTCCTGGCACAGTGCGGTCCCCCCCGGGTCTGGCCAAGACACCCCTGTCTGCTCTGGGCCTGAAACCCCACAACCCAGCAGACATCCTGTTGCACCCCACAGGAGGTGAGTTGGAAAGAGGGAAGATGGGGAGGGGGGCCAAGGGGAGGAGGACTCCTGTGGTTCTGGACAGAAACCCGGGCCTCAGAATCCAGTTAGCAGCCAGCTTTGTGCCCGTGCTGAGGTCAGGCCTGGGTGAGGACTCTCTGTAGGGTTGGTGGGTGACAGATTTCCTTGCAGCCTTCCTGCCTGTTGACTTGTGGAGTCGGCACAACTTCCATCCTCCTCTAGCTTGGGGCTTTGGAGGCCTGGTCTCAGTTTCCTTGGTGTTGTGGAGATCTCTGCTGGAAGCCACACATTCGAGGTGTTCAGGCCCTTGAGTACATGCACATGGGCGCACACACATGCACACATGGGTACACACACATGTACACACACACACTCACACAGAGTCAGAGAAGCATGCCCCTGCTGCTCTGTGCCAGGGCCTCTGCTGGCAGCCCAGCTGGCTCTGCTCTGAGCATCCACGAGGCATGACAGGCATTCACCTGGCATCCACGAGGCATCACTTGGCATTCAGAGTGGTCTCTTGGTCTGCCTCTTCAGGCCCACAGAACCCTACCACAGAAACCCATGACTGGCAGTGGCCATCACTGGCTGCCATCTCCTCGACCCCCTTGCCCCCAGCCCAGGTCTTCTCCTGCCTGTCAAAGACCTGCCACCTCCGGGCTTCTGACTCTCTCCGGCCTGTGCTCATCCCCCATCCCCATTCCCGATGCTGGCTGCATCTTACCCTGCTGCTGAGGAGAGCACCCCAAGCTCTGAGGAAGGAAGGAGGATGGTTGCCCGGCCTCCCTGGGGTCAAACAGCCGGTCCTGTTGGCACGGTAGAGGGCAGGGCCCTGGGCCTGTCTGGCAGAAGGTGCTCCTCTGAGCAGACACCACCCCAGGTTCACACCTCCGACCTCCTCCTCCCATTTCCCAGCTCCTCTCCTTCCTATGGTGGAGGGAGACAGGGCTCCCTGGGCCCTTGGTGGCCATGTGGGGCCACTGAACTCAGAAAGCTGCTCCCTGGGCTCTGGTTTTAGGGCTGGGTGGGGGCTCCTGGGGTCAACTTTACTTTTTTCCTTAGTTACCAGAAGATGCATCCAGCCAGGTAGGTGGGCAGTGGCATGCATTTGTGACCCACGAAGCTACACAGCTGGGCACAGCCTCCCACTCAGAGTGTCAGCATGGCCAGGGACACTGAGCCACAGGGGATCAGTAGAAGGGGGCTAGCAGCTGCCTCTCACCAGCCAGCACACTCCTGCTTGACACTCGGCCCACAGAGCCCTGGGCACAGGGGTTGTGAGGGGCTCAGGCTCCTGAGAGTCAGGAGCTCAACTATGCCCCGGAGCCTTGGGTTCCTGTGCAGGGTGGGCCTCGGCCTTCCCCTTGGAGCCCTTCTGTGGACAGCGCAAATTGGCCCTGGCCTCACCCCAGCTTTCCCACCTCCCTTTTCTCCACAGATTCTCTTTCTCAAGAAATAATCCCTGTTAATATCTTTCTCTCTTTTTCCTTTTTTGCTCTTCCTCATCTTCACCACCTGCCCTTCTTTCCTGCCTCTCCTTCCTCCCATCTCTCTTCTCGTCTTCCCTCAGAGGAAGATGAGGGGAAGGTGGTGGTCAGGCTCTCAGAAGGTAAGTGGCATTTGCTGTGGCTTCCTGCTCTCTGGGTCTGGAAATGGCTTTTCATGCAGGGCTTGAAGAGGCTGGCTGGAGGCAGCTCTCTTTCTTCACTGGAACTCAGGTGACCAGGTACATGGCCTTCCTGTCCCTCAACGCTTGGTGATGAGATATCACCCTGGGCACCTCCTGAGTCCTGATGGGGGAGCTTGTAGCTGCCAGGCACAGGCGCAGTCAGTGTCTGGGGGCTCCTGCAATGTCACCTTGCTGACCCAAACGCTCCTCTTGCACCTTCCTCTCCCAGCACCATTTGCGCCAGCCTGCCTGGTGTGCAGCTGCTCACAGGGGTAGACAGGGAGGGACTCAGATCCCCTTTCCCAGGGCGAGCTCCACAGGCATTTCTCAGAGCAGAGATTCTCCACCTTGGCACCACTGACAGTTTGGCCTGAATGACTCCTTTTTTTTTTTTTTTGAGATGGAGTTTCGCTCTTGTTGCCTAGGCTGGAGTACACTGGCACAATCTTGGCTCACTGCAACCTCTGCCTCCTGGGTTCAAGCAGTTCTCCCACTTCAGCCCCCTGAGTAGCTGGGATTACAGGCATGCACCACCACGGCCAGCAATTTTTTTTTAAATTTTTTTTTTGTTTTTCGTAGAGACAGGGTTTCACCATGTTGGCCAGGCTGGTCTTGAACTCTTGACCTCAGGTGATCCACCCACCTTGGCCTCCCAAAGTGCAGGGATTACAGGCGTGAGCCACTGTGCCCGGCCCTGAATGAGTCTTTGTTGTGGATGCTGCCCTGCGCACTGTGGGAGGATTAGCAGTGTCCCTGGATTCTACCTGCTAGATGCCAGTAGCTCTCACTCAGTCATGACAATGGAAAATGTCTCCAGCATTGCCAGTGTCCCCTGGGGGGATAATTCTCCTGGTTCAGAGACCCCATCTTAGAGCCATGATTTGCCCTCTGGAAGCCCTGCCTGGTTTCCTGTCAACACTGAAAGTACCAGGTCTGTCTTTCGGGAATCTCAGACAACTTTGGGTATTTCAGGAAATCTATGGACTCACCGTGTATACAATAACGCATTGGGATTCCCATGCAAGTAATTCTGAAAAGCAGTTTCAAGGAGCTGGCATGTCTATGGGTCCCAGATGAACCCCTGATTTAAATGAGCCCTGCACTGGGCACCAGGGAAGCAGAGAGGGGGCGTAATCAGGTGGGAGGCCTTGGACTCACTAGGAGCAGAACTCGAGTGAGGACTCAAACCAGCAGGTGAAACAAAGTAGGTGCCAACCTGGGCGGGAGGCCAGCATCTGGTTCTGGGCACTGGCATCCCCATCTCTACCAGGAAGATGGGGCAAAGTGGGTGCTGTGATCGCTTCCAGTTCTGACGGGTTAGGTGTTCTGACTTCCCACCTGGGCCCTGGGCCGGTTGGCTGGTTTTCTCAGGCCTATTTCCCACTTTCCTTTGTACACACCACCTTGATTTTCCACCCCCTAAGCGGGGATGACCTGTGCCCCTCTAAATCTGCTGTCACCCAGCTAGGATGGTTGGAGTTTCCCAGAAGACTTTACCCTCTCCTAACCAGCTGGGGTTTGGGCAACAGCATCAGGCTGCTTGGGGGGCTGCAGAACAGGGCAGCTTCCAGAGACAGAGTAGGTTGGCCACAGCATGCGTCCCTCTGCGAAGAACGGCCCCTCCTCGCTCCCCTGCAGCCTCATGCCTGGGGAAAGGGCTTTCTCCCAAGCTGGAGGCTGACCGCTGCTCCTGGCAGGGCAGGAGCTGGGAGAGAGAAACTAGCATTAGCTGGAGCTCAGAGCCAACGTTCCTGTGCTTCAGATGCCGGACCACGCAATAGGCTCCCAGCTCTCCTCGAAGCTGGTTGACTTAGACCCGTGGTATCCCAAACACTCTCCAGTGGAAGGGACCATGGGGTGGACTATCCAGCAAGCTGGCAGGGCCTGGTGATTGCTTCTCACTTTGGGGTGACTTCAGGGGCGTGGGCCTCGATAGAACAGAACTATCTGCCAACTGCACCTCCTGAATGACTCTCATCTTACAGGGCCCCAAGTGCTCTGGCCAGAGCCACAGAGTTTGGAGGGGAAGGTGCTTAGGGGTTAACTCAGTCACACCCATTGTTGTCACAGATATACAGCTGACATCAGCACTGTAGGTGGTGTTGGGGGATCTGCCCAAGGTCACAGTTAGGAGGTAATGTAGCCAGACTGCAGTTATTGGTCTCCTGTCTCTTCCTCAAGTGGCTGTTTCAAAGCCCTTCTCAGGCCTGCAGGCGCCGTGCCCTGGGATTCCAGTGTGGGAGTTGGAATTGCTGCCCATGGTCTGGGGAGTGGAGTGGGGAAGGGGCAGGGAACAAAGCTGTGGGCAGCCAGTTCCTTATTTCCTGACTCATGTGCCATAGCCCGGGTCAGACTAAAGCTCATTCTTTGCTGACCCTCTGAGGCTTCGCTTGATTTCCCTGCTGATACTTTGATGGGAAATTCAGAAAAAAATGCCCGTGAGGCAAAAATGGCCAGAGGCAGGATTATTCAGCTGGGGGAGAAGAAGAATTTGAGGGATGTCTGCTATGTCCCGGGCGCTGTGCGAAACACTTTACATTCATTCATTCTTTCATTCATTGCTCCATTTATTCTTAATATTTTGTGCACTGACTGTGTGCCAGGCTTTGGGAATATAAGGATGCATAAGGCAGCTGGTGAGGAGAGTGATGCCAATAGACATTTCAATATTAGGCAAAAGTGCTGAGCCGGGGTAGGAATAGGATGGCATGGGGGCTGGGAGGAGGGGGCATGTGGCCCAATCTAAAAGGTTTGGAATTCTAACTTTTGAGCTCCTAGATCTGGGACCTGAGGGTTTCCATATTCCCTTCTTTCTCTTCCACCCACATGTCTTGATCTAACTTAGGGTGGGTGTGCCCCTTCTCTCCAAGCAAAGAGCCTCTTTGGGGAGACAGAAAATGCGCTTCAGGGTGTGGACGAGGAGCTGACAGTGCCAGACTGGAGGAGCCCAAGTCACCCTGTGCTGCAGCTGCTCTCCACTGCCAGCAGTCACTTGGCAGGGTTTGGGCTCCTGGAATGTTCTACATGATGTACCCTCCCTGTCCCCACCTCTCCCGCCCTGCCCAACTCCCTGTAGCCTCTGATGCGGCTGCTCCAGGATTGGAGGGAAGGAGGAAAACAGCAGGAGAGGTGGTGCGAGTGAGGAGTGGAGGAAGGCAGGGATGGGCGGCTAGGAGCAGTGGTTCTGAACACCGGGCCTGGGATTGGCAAGAAAGAATTAGGAGGAACTTTCCTGCCTCTTCTCACCTGATCCTAGCCGGGCAGGTGGGTATCCTCATTCCCACTTTGCAGATGAGGAAACTGAGTCCCAGAAAGTCTCTAGTAAGTGCACTGGTGGTGGGTGAGGGGAGAGCTTGCAAGTAGAAGTATATTGTCCTGGGGTGGGAGAGAGAGAAAGAGCCAGGGAATAGACAGAAAAAGGAAGCATTTTCAGTATGGAAATCTGCATCTGAAAACTTGGGAAAACTGATGTCTAGCCCTGAAGATGGGTTTTAAACAGTTCTGGAGATGAACTCAGGAAATCAAATAACTTCTCAAAGGTCCTTCCTGCTCTGGGTTCATGAGGAGTAGAGATTGTATGGAAAGGCTTCGTTCATCTCCAGCCCATGGTGTGGGACTGGAAGGGCAGGTAGGGGTGGCAGTCGGAGGGCAGACCAGCTGACCAAGGAAGAGGATGTGCTGGGAAGGAGAAAGGAGGTGGGGGCCCGGTGAGGGCAGGGCCAGATGGGGCTGGGTCTGAGTGGCCTTGGCTAGGTTGGCCACCCAATGCACAAGGGCTGTTTCCAATATTGTGGTGGGAATGGATGCTGCTACTTCTCCCTGGGCGAGCCATCCTGTTCCCCAAGTTCAGACTCCCAGTGTCTTGAGAACTGTTCTGGTGTTCTGCAGTTTAGGAGCTGAAGGGGGCAATGGGACTGTTGCCTAAAGAACTTGGCCATCCTATCGAGCCATCTCAGGGTTCTAATACACTGTCCCATGGGCCCTCCATTCAATCTTACCCTCAGACTCCAGGCTGCAGCTCAGGTGCCTGTGTTTAGACTACAGGATGGAGTTGTGCGGCCCACTTTATCTCAGTTTTACAGTTGCTAGAAGGGGTACCTGTACTTCCTTAAAGGGGTGGGGCGTAGGGCAATGGGAATTGCTTACCTAATGCGTGGGTCAAGGGCATGGCGGGAAACTGATGGTTCATTCTAGTGGAACAACCTAGGACAGTTGATGGACTCTTAAAAGGTCTGGGCAGAGCAGTGAGGGATGGTAAAGCACCCCGAGTGCTCCCTGTCAGGAGCAGGGAGCCATCCTCCCAGGCCTTCAGGAACCAGGAGGGAGCTGGAGGGCAGGGCCGCTGACTGGAGTGTGGCTAGAGGGAGGTGGGGAGGGGATGTAGCCACTGGCGCCTTGCCCTTCTGTCTCATCCCCTGCCAGTCCCTCCTTACTAGCCAAAGGCCAAAGCTATCCTGAGCCAGAGAGTAAGGGGGTCTAGATGACATAGTAAATAGAAGTCAGCCTCCAGGAATGCAGATCAGGGTAGAGAGTGGATCAGGAGCGATGTCAGTGGATTGGAGAAGAGCACAGACCTTCACAGTATCATTCACATAGGTTTCAACTTGAACTTCAGGGAGTGAGAAAAACGGATGTGGCCTCTGAGATCTTACTATGTGTCTCTGGATGGGGCTGGAGGGTAAGTGTCGTGCTTCTGTGACTTTGTGGAGCACATGCAGATTGAGGGCCTACTGTGTGCCAGGTGCTGTGTGAGGGCTCAGCACACAGATCAGCTAGGCAGGCTCTGGGAGCCCACGGGCAGCCAAAGAGTGGCTTTGTCTCCCTGGCTGGGAGAGAAGGGGTTCTGAGAGCCGTGGAGACCCGGGCGAAGCCATGCTGAGTGCCTGGAAGGGTCTGGGAAGAGTTTTCAGAGAGTGACCTAGGGTGGCAAGAGACGGGAGGGGACAGTGGACCAGTGGACTCTGACCTTGGGTGTCATTTGCATGGCTGTGGGTGAGACTCCCTCTGATGATCTCTTCTCCCAGACTGGACTACCAGTTGCTCCAGACTAAAGCACTCACTGAAACTATTGGCTCCCCGACTTGCAGAGGGTTGCATGTGCAGTGGGTAAGGGCAGGTCGGGGCCAGACTGCCTGGGTTCCTCGGCTGACTCTGCCCCTTGCCAGCTGTGACCTGGGCAAGGTAGTTACACCCCCTGAATCCTACTTTTCCTGTATAATTGTTTGCTCTTTTTATCATTAGGAATAACCCTGTGGAGTTGGCTCTTCTCTGGCTGATGGGCTGGAGTGCTGAATAGAGCCAGCTCTGGGTGTCCTGTGAGCCTATGGGCCCTGTCTAGGTCACCCAGAGCCAGCTTGTGAGTCTGGAGATTCTGGTGCTAGTGTTCACTGCCACTAATTGTCCATGTGTCCTGGGCACATGCCTCCACCTCTCTGGGCTGAGGAGACAGGTTAGATCAGGGGTCAGCACACCGTGGCAGCTGGTCAGATCCTGCCCACTGACTATTTTGGTAAAAAAAGTTTGATTGCAACCCAGCCATGCCCATTCACTGTCCTATTGTCTATGTAAGCTCTCACACCACAAGAGCAGAGCTGTGTAGTTGCAACAGTGACAGCCTGACACACCAGCCTAAGATGTTTACTATTAAGTCTTTACAAAAAAGTGCACTGGGCCTGCTCAGGGGATCTCTGCATTGTCTCGTAGTTCCAGCAGAGCCTCATGCTCGGGTGGCACAGAATCCATGCCTTTGGTGTGAATTGGCCTGGGCCTTCTGTGAGGGGAGTGGGTGGCCTGGGTTGCTTGAGGGAGGCTTTCGAGGAGGTCTTGCTGGCACTGCCTACATGGATTCCAGCTTTGGATGCTGAGATGCCTGGATCTACATCACCCTGTGCCTGGTACCTAGAATAGACCACCCGTGCCTGTCTCTTTGCAGACAAACTACCCCAGCCTTGTCCACTGTCCTTGCTGTCGGGTGGAGGGGGCTCTGTGTGGGGACAAAAAGCAGATGGGTAGGCTGTGGCTGGAGCTGTGTGCAGACTCCATTGCAGCCTCTGGGATCTGCTCTGTAAAGGCTCCTGTGCTGAGGGACCATTCTTTTCCGGTGTCCAGGGAGGCCACTGGCCTGGGTGTCGGATGTCAGACCTGAGGGCCACCCCAGAAGCCACTCCGTGGAGGCTGTGCCCCTAGGCAGCAAGGGCTGGAAACACCCCGCTAGCACCCTGGTGACTAGGCTCCTTCCAAATTAAGGTTTTCTTTGGGCTAAGGGGAGGAAGGTTGCATTTCAGCCAGCTGGACCCCAGGCCTGTCACCCATGAGGGACCTGGAGGAGGGGGATCTTCTCCAACTCTTACCATCACAGTCTTGGCCAGCGGGGGCTGCAGGGGCCTGGCCTGCTGAGGGCTGCACAGACTCTGGTTCTTCAGTTTCTCAGGCTGATTTCAGTGGATGACTTAGTTGTGGGCAGTATGGCTCTGTATTCAGGCCAGGTTCCTCCTGGGTAAGACAGGGACAGGGCGGGGTGTGGAGGTGGTGGGAATGACGTCCCTCCACGATCATGGCCTGGGGTAAATAAAAGTGTTCTGCTGCTTCTTCCTTTTTCAGATAGAATTCGTTTAGGAGCTAGCCTCAGAGGCCCTAGAGGAGTCGGGCAGGTGCTGGTCTGGGAGTCGGGCCATCTGGGACCTAGTCATTTCCCTTGCCAGGCCTCAGCATCCTCATCTGTAAAGTGGCCTTTCCTAGCATGTGTCCCCTACCCCCTCCTCTTAGGCTGTTTTGAACACCAGGTAGGGCCGTGTATAATGAGGTCCTCTGTAAACTGCTTGGTGCTACAGGAATGCCAGAGGTGGGCGATGGAATGTTGAGTTCCGCCTGGGAATGGGGTTCCCTGACGCTAGTCTCTAGAGGAATGCTGAGTGTGTGAGGCGGAGAGGGCTGGGTGTGTCTTGGCATCGAAGGGGCTAGTGAGTCCACAGCAGCCCCACAGGGCAAGTCTCACCAATGCAGGCCTGTTGCTAGGTGGCTAAGGCTGTTTCTGGATTCTGGGTAGGGGGTGGAGCTCACATGAACTCTGGCACTGTCCTGGGATACAGGCAAGGCGGGGATGGACCTCTGGGCCCACTGTAGGGCCTCAGACTCTAGTGGCACCAGGAGAACCTGGAAGGGCCTGGGTGCTGAGCAAGATCATTGAAGAAAGAGAGCAGCCAAAGAGGGTGCCAGCTATGGACAGACTCTTAGTCCTTGGAGGGAAGAGTCCCTGATGACCATATTCTGAAGCGGAGCCTGGGATCCATTTCAGAGCCCCCTCCTCTGAGCAAGGCCCTGGTGAAAGGTCACTGCAGGGCAGGGTGGGTCTGGGCAGGCAGGAGCCTTTCCCGTCCTTTGGGGGCTATTCCTATGTTCCCAGGCAGGAGTCCGGGAGGCTGTGTTCCAGGGGAGGTTGGGTGGGCCCTGCACTGCACCCCTGTGGATCTGTGCTCAGAGTCTCTTTCCCCTTGCCCCTTCCAGAGCCCCGGAGCTATGTGGAGTCTGTGGCACGGACAGCTGTGGCTGGGCCCCGAGCTCAGGACTCTGAGCCCAAGAGCTTTAGCGCTCCAGCCACTCAGGCCTATGGCCACGAGACACCCCTGAGGAACGGGACCCTGGGTGGATCCTTTGTCTCCCCCAGCCCCCTCTCCACCAGCAGCCCCATCCTCAGTGCTGACAGGTAAGCTGGGAAGGGGCAGTGGGTGGGGGATGAGAATCCAGGCCTGGGCCTGGGACGGGATGGGTGAGGCCTCCTGGATCTGTTGCCTGTGGCATGGACAGGCAGAAATCATACCCAGATGGTGGCACCTTGCAAACCACTTCATCAAGGTGCATTGAGGGCACATGTCTTGCGTGCTGAATCCTGTGGGGAGCACAGTGGCCTATAATTCCCAGGCCTCGTTCAATTCCGCCCATCGAAAACTGTGCTGGAAGGAGTGAGGCTTACCACGGTGAATGCGGCAAAGTCCTTCCCCAAGTTGAAAATCTACCAACAGTAATGACTTATATTGTGGGCTCATCCTAGGTACCAGGCACTTTTGCTACTTTAATCCTCGCAGCAATCCTAGGAGGTGAGCACTGTTATTGTTCCCACTTTTCAGACGAGGAAACTGAGGCATAGAGGTGCAGTAGCTTGCTCGAGGTCCCGCAGCTAAGCAGTGGCATAAATCGGATTCAGGTGGAAGCGTGTGGTTCCAGAGCCCACATCTCTGTCCTCTGCCCCAGACCTGCGTCATGGCGCCCTCCCTGCACACGATGAGAGTCCGATGGGCCCAAAGCCCACACATGAGTAAAGGGCTTGGAGCTCAGAACAAGGGGCCATTATTTCTGGCTAGGGATGCAGGGAGGATTTCTGAGGGCTGGAGGCATTTGTGGAGGGTCCAGAGGAACTAGCAGGATGTTGAAAGATGAAGAAAGAGAGAGAGAGCCTCCCAGAAGGACAGCCCAGCAGGGACAGAGGACTGGGCTGTGGCCATGTTGGGAGTGTGATGCTGAGGGCATGTGGCCTGCCATTAGGGGGTGCCTCGGTGGATGGACGACTGGCATTCATATTTCTGATTGCATCATACAGAGATGAAAGCCCAGAGTTGGGTGGACAGTCCCTGCTGACAGACTCAGTGGAGGGGTGCGGCAAGGAGCTGCTTGACTGGGGCAGTGCGGGTGAAGGTGGAGGGGACACAGAGATGGGATGACAACATAAGAAAGGAGGGTTGCGATCAGCTCAGGCAAGGTATCGAGTGCCAGGCAAAGGAGGAGGATCCAGGAGGTGTCGCCCCGCAGGAGGGGAGACTCTCCCCTGACCATCCCTTCTTCAGTGTGCCCACTGCCCTCCCTAGCCTGGGATGTCACAGGGCCTGCAAATTCCCCTGCCAGGCCCAGTGGGTCCAGTTTGCTGCACTGTCTACATTGGCTCAATGCTGAGCCTCCCCTGCAAGCGGGGGTACCATGGGAAGACTAGGGGAGCAGATGAGCAGAGGCAGCTGTCTTCTGGATTCTAAGCCAAGCATTCCCCCTCCCCAGCCTCTTAACAGGCAGCAGGCTGCGTTGCTCAGGAGGCCTGACTCCGGCAGAGGGTTGCATTTCCTGTTTTAAAGGAAAGGGGATTTTCCTAAGTTGCCCCAGCCACCCGTTATTGGTGCTCAGTGAGCCCTGGCATTAGCAAGCTGTTCATTGTTTCTCACTCAAATCCCTCCTGCTGAAGTGTTGGCCCTTTCCAGGAAGCTAGCCTTTCTCCCCTAGGATTAACCTTCCAGAACTCCATTTTAGTGTCTCCTTCTCTCGCCCTGCTCAGCCTGGCTCTGTCTCCCACTCCTCTGAATCCAGTTTATTCTGGATTATACCAGGAGGTGGCCTTCTGCTCTGGCACCTTCGGGGATGCAAAGTAGACTTTGCCCTAGCCTGGCCCCTGACTGTCTCCTTACCCTTGGCTCTTGCCTGGCCCAAGAGCACACTCCCGACCAAAACCTCACATCACCCCATGAACCTGAGCTTATCCAACCTGGCCCAGGGAGGGCCAGCCCACCACAAGATCCTTCCAGCCTGCAGCTCCAGGTTTTGACCCATTGGCTAAGTAAGGACCCCTCCCCATGGGGAGTTCCCGGTGCACAGCCTACCTGCTACCTCCCCACAGCTACTAGTTTGTGCAAAGCCCCCGTCAACCTTTGTTTCTCTCACCATAGATGGATAGAAATTTGGGTCTAGAAGGAGTCAGGGTCAGCTAATCCAGCCCTGTCATGTTCCACATGGAAAAGCTTCAACAAACAAAAAAACTCACTGGCCATCACATTGTGCTGCTGTGCTCTCATATGTCACTCCATGCGGACCTAGACTTAACGGTACAAGGGAACTTTTGATTGTGGCAATTTCCCCAGGTATAGTCTCCTCTGAACTGAATTGTTTCAGAGTCAGAATTGGTAGTGACCTCTGAGCTCATCTCATCTAACCTCCCAATGCAGGAAATTCCTTCTACCACATTCAGGCCAGTAAGTCTGTCAGCCTCTGCTTAAATGCTCCTAATGACAGAAGCCTCATTACCATACAAGACAGCTTTCTCCATTGGTGGCCACATCCCCAGTGGCTGGAGAGCAGACCTTATAATGACCTGAAATCCTCTGATGTGAAGCCTTCCCCTATGATTCCTTGTCTTTGCTTTTTTGGAGCCATCCAGGAGTGAAAGCCCCATTCTAGCACTCTCAGTCAATGTTTAAGGATGATGACATCACACTTGAGGAAACTGAGTCAAGGCAGGGCTACCCCCAGTAGGAACAGGAGCCAGGAAACTCCACTGGGAATCTGTGTGATGCTGGAGGCTCTATCATGACAGCCACCTCTAGTTTCGATAGGAGAGGGCTCTTCACTTTAACGTGGCTCAGAAGTGAGCATGGTGCAGTGGGGAAGACGTGGGCTTGGGAATCAGACACAGCTAAGTTGAAACCCTGGTCTTTTATAAGCAGTGTGGTCCTAAGCCTACTGTTTAACCTCCCTGAGCCTCAGTTTCTTCCCCAGGTGGTTCTGTAAGGTAACGTATAAAACTCTGACGTCCTGCCGCACTGCCAGTGGGCCCATTCTTCCTGTTGTTTGTGCTTGGAGGGAGGGCAGAGAGCAGGCTGTAAATCCACCCTTCATTCAGTTCTGTCCGCTGACATCACAACCCTCCATCTCTCTGCAGCACTTCAGTGGGGAGTTTCCCATCCGGAGAGAGCAGTGACCAGGGTCCCCGGACGCCCACCCAGCCTTTGTTGGAGTCTGGCTTCCGCTCAGGCAGCCTGGGACAGCCCAGCCCGTCTGCCCAGAGAAACTACCAGAGCTCTTCTCCTCTCCCGACTGTGGGCGGTAGCTACAGCAGCCCCGACTACTCACTTCAGCAATTCAGCTCGTCTCCGGAAAGCCAGGCCCGAGCTCAGTTCAGTGTGGCTGGCGTCCACACAGTGCCTGGGAGCCCTCAGGCACGTCACAGAACAGTGGGCACCAACACTCCCCCTAGCCCTGGCTTCGGCCGGCGGGCCATCAACCCCAGCATGGCTGCCCCCAGCAGTCCCAGTTTGAGCCATCGCCAGGTGATGGGCCCACCAGGCACTGGCTTCCATGGTAGCACGGTCTCCAGTCCCCAGAGCAGCGCAGCGACCACCCCGGGGAGCCCCAGCCTGGGTCGGCACCCAACAGGGGCCTACCAGGTTTCTGGCCTCCACAACAATGTGGCCACCACCCCGGGGAGTCCCAGCCTGGGCCGGCACCCTGGGGCTCACCAAGGCAATCTGGCCTCCGGTCTCCATGGCAATGCAATAGCCAGCCCTGGAAGCCCCAGCCTGGGCCGTCACCTGGGAGGGTCTGGATCTGTGGTTCCTGGCAGCCCCTGCTTGGACCGGCATGTGGCCTATGGTGGCTACTCTACCCCCGAGGATCGGAGACCCACAGTGTCCCGGCAGAGCAGTGCCTCTGGCTACCAGGCTCCTTCCACGCCCTCCTTCCCTGTCTCCCCTGCCTACTACCCTGGCCTGAGCAGCCCTGCCACCTCCCCGTCGCCGGACTCAGCAGCCTTCCGGCAAGGGAGCCCAACACCGGCCTTGCCAGAGAAGCGAAGGATGTCGGTGGGAGACCGGGCAGGCAGCCTCCCCAACTATGCCACCATCAACGGGAAGGTGTCTTCGCCTGTCGCCAGTGGCATGTCCAGTCCCAGCGGGGGCAGCACTGTCTCCTTCTCCCACACTCTGCCCGACTTCTCCAAGTACTCCATGCCAGGTGGGCCTCTCCCCTTCCATTTTCACCTCTCCTGCTGATGAAGTATGTACAAGAGTGAAATATCTATCCCAGTGAATGTTCTGACATTCCCTTGGCAGGCGACCCTGGGTGAATCACTGACTTCTGGGACTTAGTTTATCTGTATAAGGAGAGTTGGAGGTGTCCTCACCATAAGTGTGCTGTGGTTGTGGATGCTGAGATGAGGATGTGGATACAGATGAGGATGATAAAAAGAATAATGATGAATAGTATTACGGTTATGATTATCATCATCTTCATAGCCATTACCACTTGCTGGGCACATGCTGTGTGCCAGGCTCTGAGCTAAGTACTGTCTCATTTAAGCTTCTTGGCCACTTGGTCAAGTAGGTATTAATATTATTAACCCCAGTTTACAAACTGAGGCTTAGAGGCTCTGTCACTTGTCTAGTATCATACAGTCAAGAAATGGCAGAGCCAGGCTTCCAATCCAGGCCACACCACCCCAAAACTAATGGTCTTCAAGCATCATTGGAGTTATTTTTATTATGTGTCCGTATCTTGGGGGGTCATCATTATTTAGCATGACCTTGAACACCTGCCTTCCAAACCTGGATCTCCATACCTTTGCCACCCCTGCAGTGGCCACATCACTCCTCATAGACCCGACTTCATCGAAGCCCATGCAGGTTTGTGCAGTGAATTCTTCACCCATCGCCAGAACTTGCCACCTTTTGCCTCTACTTAGATAGCTCATTGTCTAAACACAAAGGCCAGCCTCTAACTTGACTGGCCCTGAATGTTTGAGGCAGATTTAGAATGTTTTGGGCCGCCTCAGATGGGCCCCAGCTGCCTAGGTTCTCCCGGTATCACTCTCAGGTCCTGCCCTGAGCCTGCCAAGCCAGGACACCTAGAATGACCCTGCACCCCCTGTTTCCTGCCGCCCCCCGGGGACATCTGGTTCCCAGCCCCTCTCCTTGAAGGATGCAAAACGTCTAGTAGCTGGGACACTTCCTGTTTCCCACCATCTTCCCTGCTTAAAATAGCCTTTGGAGTCAACACAGGAAGGCATGTGGGACTGCAGCCGCCTCTGACAGCTCGTTAAACAGGCCATGGCAGCAGTGGGGCCTGGGGCTTCGGACGGAGAAAGGCAGCCTGAAGCAGTTGCACAGCCCAGCTGCCTAACCCAGAGACCTTCTTCAGCACACAGCTGCCAGAAAAGGGAGCTGACCTCTCCCCTCACGCTCGCCCGAGGACAGATCCCAGAAGCATAAGGGAATGTAAATCATAGGTTGAAATTGACTAAGCACTGGAGACACAACTTGTGTCTCCTGATCTGCTCTCTTAACTTTACAGTGTCTTTCATGCCAGCTTCTGTCTCTGAAGACAGGAGAGGAAAAATGTGGAATCCTCATCTTTTTCTATTTCCCCTCCCTTTTTTTTGGTTTTCTTTGGTGCCAAAAGCTGAAGGGAGAGGTTGAGAGTGAGGGCCACACATCCTGATGGTTAGACAGGAAGATACAGTTTAGCTGGTCCTAAACTGGCTGCTAGGGCCTCTTACCAAGGTCACCATCTGTGTGACTTGGGCAAGTCACTTCTCATCTCTGAATTTCTCCTTATATGTAAAATTAGGCAGTTGGACTCTGTCCTGTCTGAGCTCCCTCCAGAATCTCATGTTCTACGACAAATTCGCAAGGTCTGCAAAGAGTCTGGGCATGGGTGTGTGTGGGGGTGTTGTCTGCCTGAGAAGCGGGGTGCCCGACATGCAGTAGATGTCCTCTAGATTGTAGGCCAGCTATCACCTGTTTAATCCAAAGAGAAGTGAGTTTTTTTGTTTTTTTTTGTACTTTGTGATGCAGAACATAGGCTTTCCCTGTGGAAAGTGAGGAGGGGCCTGGGGAAAAGGGGGCAGAAATGGATCTTTCTGCCCTCATCTTCATGATGGGTGTGCTGAAGTTGAGAAACTGAGCCTGTGGAGAAAGGTTCAAGAAGCAAGCGTTTTAGCCCGTGGGAGAAAAGCCGTAGGAAGGGTTTAGTCACAGTCTTCTAGGGAAAGGGGGACATGGGGTGGAGGAAGACTTTCGGTGGGCTCTGCGAGAATGCAGTGCCAGGCCCTCCACCAGGAGGTGGCTCAGCCACCCAGAGGGCGTGCAGGGGATAGGGGATGGATGAGGAGGCCGAAGGTCCCTTCCACTGTGTGTTCGAGGACATCAGCTTTTGATGTCAGTTTCCTGGGGCTGCCATAACAAAGGACAATGTGCTTAGTGGCTTAAAAATGACAGAAATGTGTTCTCTCACAGTTCTGGAGGCTAGAAGTCCAAAATCAAGGTGTTGGCAAGGTTAGCTCCTTCCTGATGTTCTGGGGGAGAATCTGTCCCAGACCTCTTTCCCAGTTTCTTGTGGCCGCCAGCATCCTTGGTGTCCCTTGGCATGTAGACGCATCACCCCAGTATCTGCCTGCACCTTCCATGGTGCTCTCCCCTGTGTGTATCTCTGTCTACTCTCCTTGTAAGGGCACCAGGCCTACAGGCATACTGGATTAAGGCTCACCCTAATCCTGCGTGACCTCATCTTAATTTGTCTACATCTGCAAAGACCCTATATCCAAATAAGGTCAAATTCACAAGCACTGGGGTCAAGACTTTGATGTCTGTTTTGGGCGAACACAATTTAACCCATAACACTTTCTTCCCTTCTCCTGCTTTAGACAACAGCCCGGAGACACGGGCTAAAGTGAAGTTTGTCCAGGACACTTCTAAGTATTGGTACAAGCCTGAGATCTCCAGGGAGCAGGGTGAGTGCTGGGCTCTGTGGTCCATCAGAGGTCATAGCTGGCTGAGGCCTCCTGTGTCTTCCCTGGGCAAGGAACAGAGGCAAATTCAGTCCTCTTTGTAGCAGGGGGTCATCACAGAGGGGGCTGGGGTTGAAGTTAGATAGTAGGAAGCACTTCCCGCAGTGAAGTGTGGGAACACAGAAGCAGTGGTTGTAGACACTTCTTGGAAGGGTTCTTAAAAACAGCAAAGCCTTGGTTTTCCTGGGCAAAGTAAAAGGTCTGCCAAGATAACATGAAACCGTAGCTCTCTGTCTGCCTGATGTGGGAGGTTTTTGCATTTTACAGAGAGAGAGAACAAAGTTGGGAATGTGGGAATGATTCTCAGGGGAAGCCTGTCTGGGTGTGGGACAGGGGTCAGCAACGGCAGCCCGTGGGTCAAATCTGGATGCTGCCTGCTTTTGTAAATGAAGTTTTATTGGGGCGCACCCACACCTGCTGGCTTGCATCCTCTCTGTGCTGGTGTCCTGCTGCAGTGGCAGAGTGGAGTAGTTATAGCAGAGGCTGCATGGCCTGTGAAGCGTGAAATATTTACTCTCTGGCCATTTACAGAGGAAGTTTGCCAGCTGGGTGTGGTGGCGCACACCTCTCATCCCAGCATTTCAGGAGGCCAAGGCAGGGGATCACTTGGGGCCAGGAGTTCAAGACCAGCCAGGGCAACATAGTGAGATCCTGAATCTACAAAAAAAAAAAAAAAAAAAAAAGAAAAAAAAGAAAATTAGCCAGGCAAAATGGCACACGCTGAACAGTGGCCTGTGGTCCCAGCTACTGGAGAGGCTGAGGTAGGAGGATCCCTTGAGCCCAGGAGGTCGAGGCTGCAGTGAGCCATGATTGTGCCTGCATGCCAGGCTGAGTGACAGTGAGGCCCGGTCTTACAAAAACAAAAAACCCAACAGAATAAGTTTGCCAACCGGAGTACAGGAAGACCCTTAGGACTAGTTAAATTCTAACTTCAAAGAACGTTGTCTCACCTAAGAAAGAACAAAGGTCGGCAGGCTCAGTGAGACTTAAGTAAAACTAGTGCCACCAATGTCTTGCTTCCTCCCCTCTCCTTGTCCCTTCCCCATGCAGCCATCGCACTCCTCAAGGACCAGGAGCCGGGGGCCTTCATCATCCGTGACAGTCACTCCTTCCGAGGCGCCTACGGGCTGGCCATGAAGGTGTCTTCGCCACCTCCAACCATTATGCAGCAGAATAAAAAAGGTAACCTCATCTCCCAGCACGGGGCTCAGGACAAGGTGAGCTTTACAGTTGCTAAACCTGGAGGTGCTGGAGGGACCCGGGGTGCTGTGCAGGACCCTAACTCCCATCAGACTCTTCGGAAGCGGGTGTCTTGGGCTTGGCGATGGTTGGGGTCAAAGATGGGGAAAGCAGGAGATTGGGTGCCTGCCATGTGTTTCCTGAGGGTTGGGAGAGCAGCAGAGTGCGCTGCACTCCGTGGGGCTCCAGTCACATTCTCTCTTCAGCCATTTCTCCCATCTTGGCCCTGCATACTGCAGAAGTTTTGAAGCAGTCTTGGGAGGTGGTGGGAGGACGCCATGGGAAGGGACTGAGCCTCATTTCTTTCTCTTTGTCCCAGGAGACATGACCCATGAGCTGGTCAGGCATTTTCTGATAGAGACCGGCCCCAGAGGAGTCAAGCTCAAGGGTTGCCCCAATGAGCCAAACTTCGGTGAGCTGTCCCTGCTGCCCCCGTCTCTACAGTCTGGCCTGAGTCTTGGCCCTGTCCTGGGTTCCTCCAGGGGTCTGACTCCAAGTTCTTTCTGACAGGCTCTGCCAGCCACCCTTGTCATAAATTCAGCAGAGAAAATGAATGGAGGCTTGTCTCCCTCTGCAGTGCGGCTCCTAATTCTGCCAAACTGCATTCTGTATTTGTCCTGCCCAGCTGGGACTTGTTCTCATTATAACTGGAGTAACAATAGTAAAATCAGCTGCCTTAATTGACCACCTACCATGTGAATGTCACTGTCCCAGCACCTTCTATCACGTCTGGCCTCACAACCATCCTGTTTGGTAGGGGTCATCCTCCCTAATAGGGAGGAATTGACACATGAAAAAATGAGCGTCATCAAAGTTACACTTACCTGAGAACCAACAGGTGAGATGTGACTGAGCTGGGATTGGATCCCACAATTCTCTGATCCTTCTGCTCTGTTCTCAGAGGAGCCCCAGTAACTGGGGCGAGTTAGGAGCAATGTTAGGAGGAACTTTCTGCAAAGGAAAGTTGTTAGGTACCTTTATGACTGCTGGAGTGAGCCTTGGGAATCTTCTCTTGGATGTTGTTAAACAAGAGGGTGTGAATTTTCAGCTTTGTTGGTGGGTTGAGGTAGAGGTAACAAAGAAGTGGAAGATCATGTGTATCGGGATGAGGGTGGAGGTGGAGGTTTCCCCTCTGACTTCCAGTATCGCTGCCCCTGACATGCTTCTGCTTCCCTGCAGGATCGCTGTCTGCCCTGGTCTACCAGCACTCTATCATCCCATTGGCCCTGCCTTGCAAGCTGGTCATTCCAAATCGAGGTAGGAACGTGAGACTCCTGGCTCACCACCCACACCCTTGAGCTGGCCCCCGTCATGTCTTGATCCTGCCAGCCACTCTGGACATGGGCCAGGGCTGGAGGACACACATCATTTTACCAATCTGGAGAAACTCAAAATTACTCTCCTTTTTTTCCTATTAAAAAAGAAGAAAAAATTTATGAAAAAGCTTGACTCCAGGAACATACAAAAATGGACTTGCCAGATTGTTCAGGAAAACCCTCCGTGTGAAGAAATTCATATGGAATCTTCAGACCATGTGTCATCCCAGGGATGACAGGAGACAGGAGAAGTAGGGGACAGGAGACATGTCCTGGAGGATGAGATGGGCATCTGGGGAAGAGAGCGGGGAGGCAGACTGAGGTGCTGGGGGGTTGGTCTGGATGGAGAAGAGAGAGCAGCCTCAGGAAAGGGAAGGCAGTGCCTTGATGTCGCTGGATTTTCTAATCTGTGTGCTGGGAGGGTGTTCCCTGACTGAGGGGACGCTGAGCTGTTAGGGAAGAGCAAGTCCTCTTTTGATTGTGGGAAGTTGGAATGGACTCCAAGAGCATGAGGACATGCAGGATGAGAATCTGAGTGAGACGGCAGGGCTGGGGAGGGGGTGTTTAGCTTCTCTCATGGAGGCGCATCAGCCCTGGAGCATGGCAGGTGGGCACCTGGAACTCCTCCCAGCACAGGCCTCTATTGCCCAGCCCTCAGAGACACAGGGCTCACCTGAGGGTCATTGGCCTCACCCCCAGTGCAAGGTCTCGGAACTGGGAGCTGGGCTGCCTTCTCCCCACTCTCTCTGTTCAACAATAGGACCTTCAGAAGCACTCCTAGGCTGTGGCTCTAGGATCTTTTCTAGTCTGTCTTGGAGCTCCTGGGGCTATGCCCACATATAACACCTCCAGTATTTTTGGACAGTTTCTATTTATCCAGTTCAGTTCATTGAACTATTAATGGTAATGGACCAACATTATTAGCTTATAAGTTCAAATACAACTTAAATAGCACTATTAACCAATGACACAATTCAGACACGAATTGAATTATATTCCTATGGAATTTACCATAGTAGTTCAGCAATTAAAAAACTGTTTAATATTTAGATTGTATAAACCTGTCGTTTTTGAAGTATGGGCCTAGACCGACAGCATCAGCGTCTCCTGGGGACTTGTTAAAAATGCAAATATTGGCTGGGCATGGTGGCTCATGCCTATAACTTCAGAACTTTGGGAGGCTGAGGTGGAAGGATTGCTTGAAGTGAGGCATTCAAGACCAGCCTGGACAAGATCAGAAGACCTCATTTTTACAGAAGAGTAAAAAAATTAGCCAGGCATGGTGGCTCATGCCTGTAGTCCCAGCTACTCTGGTGGCTAATGTGGGAGAATCCACTAAAGCCTGGGAGTTTGAGGCTGTAGTGAGCTGTGATCACGCCACTGCACTCCAGCCTGGGTGACAGAGCAGGATTTTCTTTCAAAAAAAAAATTATCTACCATGTACAATGTGATGTTTTGATAAATGCGTACATTGTGGGTTAAATCAAGCTAATATGTCCATCACTCAATTCTTATTAACATTGGAATTAGAGTTATACTGGATCAATGGTTTAATGAATTAGGGAAATTAGAGGATTTATTGACCTACACAAAGATATATCAATGCAAAACAATAACAGCAATGCCAATTGTCACTTGAGGGCTTGCTTTATGTTAAACACTGGCTAAATTGTACATGGAATCTCTCAAAAACCCAGTGACATGTGTACCATGATCATCGTCTTTGTTTTATAGATACTTAGTAAGTGCTGGGGTGAGGGTTTGAGCCCAGTTCTGCTGGACTCCAGAGCTCACAACCAGTGTGCTGGCTGCTTAGAGCAATCATCAAACATTCAGAATGAGCCTAACTCAGGGCTGACTGCCATGTTCTGGTATGAAAAGCAATGTCCCTTGTGCCAAAGAGTTGCAGAGCTCAACTTCAGCCCAGCCAAACTTGTGCTTCTTTCCAGCTCTAGGGTTTTAATTCCTACTGAATTTTTGTCTCAGACCCCACAGATGAATCGAAAGATAGCTCCGGCCCTGCCAATTCAACAGCAGACCTGCTGAAACAAGGGGCAGGTGAGTGGTCACCTGAAACCACCCATGCCCAGGCCTTCCTTTCTGCCTTCCTGCCCTGATCCCTCCTGCAGATGCAGGCTGGAGGTCTCTCCAGGCCCAAATATCTCCGGGAAGATCACATTTCTATGTGCAGATGCCTTGGCTCAAGGCTAGCCTGAAATTTATCTGCTACCTTCTCCCTGAAGAAGGGATCTGGGTTAATGTCCTCACCCACCCCAGCTCCCATGACTCCCCTTTGGGTTGGTTTCTTCCAGCCTGCAATGTGCTCTTCGTCAACTCTGTGGACATGGAGTCACTCACTGGGCCACAGGCCATTTCCAAAGCCACATCTGAGACATTGGCTGCAGACCCCACGCCAGCTGCCACCATTGTTCACTTCAAAGTCTCTGCCCAGGGAATCACTCTGACTGACAACCAGAGAAAGTAAGACTCCCGTGCCTGCTCCTGGGTGGGGTTCTCCTTCCCGTGACCCATCTGTTCATCCATGTACCCACCCATTTACCAATTGATTAATTCCTTGCACCCAACTTCTCATCTACCCTCCTGTCCATCTATCTTGCATCTACCTCCCATCTACCCAGCTACTTATCCATCCATCCATCCATCCATCCATCCATCCATCCATCCATCCATCGCCACCATTGTTCACTAAAGTCTCTGCCTTAGAATCTCTGATCGACAAACCAGAGAAAGTAAGACTCCGTGCCTGCTCCTGGGGTGGGCTCCTCTTCCCGTGACTCCATCTGTTCATCCATGTACCCACCCATTTACCAATTGATTAATTCCTTGCACCTAACTCTCATCTACCCTCCTGTCCATCTATCTTGCATCTACCTCCCATCTACCCAGCTACTTATCCATCCATCCATCCATCCATCCATCCATCCATCCATCCATCCATCCGTCCATGCATCTACCCATCCATCCATCCATCCATCCATCCATCCATCCATCCATCCATCCATCCATCCATCCATCCATCCATGCATCTATCCATCCATCCATCCATCCATCCATCCATGCATCTATCCATCTAATCCCTGCATTCATTCATCCCTCATCTATCCCTGACCACCCATTTTTCCCTTCATCCATCTATATCTCCATTCATCTATCCATCTACCCATTCATCCATCCTTCTATGAGAATTTGCCAGCATTGCGTATATGGCTGTAAATACAACTGATAAAAAGGTCCTGCTTTCTAGGAGGAGAGCCCATCCACCTGGACTCTCTCCTAACAGTGTCACCAGCCTCTTTGCTCTTCTTCCAACCCCTCCCCACATTTCCTATTCCTCAGTGCCAGTTTCCTCCTTTCCCAGCCCCTGGCATTTGGGATGATTCTATGGCACATCTGTCTCTGTACATTGCTTAGGTTGCCAGTATCAGCAGCTCAGGCCATCTTGCTCATAAGAGAGAGGTTGTGTGGACCCGTGATAGCCACAGATGGTGGAAAGGTGGCCTGACCTGCTGGTGGAAGGAGGGGAAAAGCAGCCCTTTTAGCACTCATTCTCTGTTTATCTGATGTCTGTGCTGCAGGCTCTTTTTCAGACGCCACTACCCCCTCAATACTGTCACCTTCTGTGACCTGGATCCACAGGAAAGAAAGTAAGTCTCTTGCACACAGCTTCCCTCCCACACAGCTCTCTAACACTGACGTCTGTGTGGGTGCATGCATGTGCATGTGCGTGTGTGTGTGCATGTGTGTACATTCTCCATTCAGCTGGAAGATCTGCCCATGTGTGAGTAATCGTGTTGGGCATCTTTTGAGTCTTTCCCACTATAGATATGGGGACTCTCCTAGGGACTCAATGCCCACGGCCACCCCTTCTGTCATGCCCTGACCCTGAACCTGCCTCTCCTCTCCACGATGGGGAGAGCCCCTCAGGAGGCAGGCTGCAGTGTTCTCTCCACCTTGAATGCATCTCTGTGTGAGCTTGGGCAGCTCCTGTCCCTTGGGAATGGGGGGTCGGTCCCCTGCCTTCCTGCAGAAGGTCTGGGTGTGTGGGGGGCTGGGCTCTAGGGAGAAAGTATGGTGATTTACCCTGAGCCCACTTTCTCTCCACAGGTGGATGAAAACAGAGGGTGGTGCCCCTGCTAAGTAAGTGTGACTTCTTACCCCCAACCCAGCAGGCTGGCCTTTGTACTTCACAGCGAGGGAAGCACGGGGCACATTTAGAAACCAGGGCCAGGGGTAGGGAAAGAGCAGCAGAAACCTTTGTGCCGAGGTCACTAAGCTTCCAAGCGAAGCTTGACCAGGCATACAGGCCTTTTGCCTTGTCCTTCCTCCAGGCCAGAGGCCCAGCCTCTGGTCTAGCCACCTTCATTCTCCCAGGGTCAGAAGCAGCAGGGATGGCAGGAAGTGGACAGAAAACAGAGTCTCATTGGAAGCAATGGAAGTGGGGCAGGGGTTGCTTATGTGATCTTTTCTGGCCCCAATTCCAGCTGCCTTTATTCTTGTTCTTGCTTTTTTGGGCTTTCCTGTGAGTCTTGTGGCCGAGCCAGACAGCCTTACCAGAATGTGGAGCCCAGAAGGCCTGAATTCTGGGGATGGCCTGGGACCTTTGGGTGGATTCCTCCATCCAGTGGACATGTCCTAGGGGCCTCCAAGGAACTCAGAACCTGCTTGGGTCTCTGACCCTGCCCTCAGGAGGCCCATTGACACAGCAGATAAGATAGATGTCTAAATAGCACTAAGATGCTTCTGTGACTTTCAAACTGTGTTCCAAGGATCCCAGCATCCTTGGATTGCACCTGGTGTTCAGAAGGGAGGGAAAACTCTGCTGCTCGTTGCAGTTGTCTATCAGTAGGAACTAGGGTTTTCTCACAATCACAAAACCAAAACAAAATATAGGCATAACCTGGGGTCTGAAGCTGACATGAGACTGTCACTATGATCTGTCATCCACTTTTCACTTTGTCAGGATTATTCCAACAACCCTATTATCCTCACTGATTGACTTTATAATAGGCAAACGTCATGCATTTGGATCCCTGTTTATAGCTGTAAAATACTGCTTTCACCTTTATATATGCAAACTTCATACAAGGTTGCTTTAGAAAAACAAAACGTTCACTGTTAAAAAAAATGTCAGTTGCAAGGGAGGGAGAGGCAGCAAGAGAGTTCAGCTTACATCTGGGGAGCTCATGCAAGAGAACACATTAGCACCTCGGAGAGGTGGAAAGAGCAGATATTTAAGGATGGGTTTTCAAAGACAGGCTCAATTTGGACAGGTCAAAATGAGAATGGGAGTAGGAGGGACTATTTCAGGGTAGGGGCCTCATGGCCACCAGACTGCAGGCTCTCCGAGGGAAGGGCCATGTCTGGCACATGAGGAGGCTGGTAAATATTTGTTGAGTGAAGAAATGAGAGAACAGAGGCTGGAAGAGCAGAGGCAGGAGGAGGCTAGTGAGGATGCCTCAGTCCGAATGAATGGACTGACTAGTCTATCACATGGTCAGTGATGGCGGCTTAGGAGACGCCATGTGGGATGGTGGGGCTCAGCCCTGTCCAGGCTTCATAGGGTCATCAGTGCTTTGAGTCCCTGCTCTCCCATGTCACTGCTGGCCACGGCGGCAGGCTGGAACTTCGTGTTTGAAGGTGCTTGTGCTCACTCACCACAGGGCCCTGCGAGGGGAGAGGGTCAGGGACAGAAGGGAGCTGGGCCCCTAAGCCTGGAAATCCCTCTTTTCCTCCTTCAGGAGCTGGTTTTGAGTTGAACCTCCTGCTGAAGAGGCTTTGATGGGTGGGGCAGAGGCCACAGGGAGAGGCTGAGCAGGGCAGTGGGCTAACGGAATCATGACAGGGACGAGGCGAGGCCAGCCAGGGATCTCAGGTGCAAAATTCAAGGAGATGTTAGCCCCTTAGGGGCTGAGGCTTCTTGCCTGGATCTATTCCTTGTGGCAGATGACAGGATTGGTCTATTGTGGGAGCCTGGGAGCCACAGCTGAAAGGAATATCAGGGGAGGGCAGGCTCGGTGCTCCCGTCGGGTGCAGTTGCTGGGTCTCCATCCTGGTAGACACCCACAGCCAGGGCTGGCATGCTTCCTCCCTCTGCCAGAATCACCCCCACCCCTTCTCAGGGTCCGAGCCAGCCAGGAAAGGCAGATGCTGGGGGCTGCCCTGTGGACCCCAGCTCCCCGCTCCACCTGGGCATTACCCCAGGCCTTTGGCCCTGTTGCTCCCGGCCCCTGAAACAAGGCTAGGGGAGCACAGCTGTAGGAAACGCAGGATTGTGTGTGTGTGTGTGGTGTGTATATGTTGTGGTTGTGTTTGTGTGTGTGTTGTGTTTGGTGTGTATATGTTGTGTATATGTGTGGCCTGTGTATGTATGTATGCATGGTTTGTGTATGTGTGTGGTATATGTGTGTGTGGTATATGTGTGTGTGGCGTGTGCAGTGGTGTGTGTATGTGTGGTCTGTGTATGTATGCATGGCTTATTTGTGTATTGTGTGTGGTATATGTGTGTGTGGTATATGTGTGTGTGTGGCGTGTGCAGTGGTGTGTGGTGTGTGCATGTGATGTGTGTGATGGTGTATATGTGTGTGGTGATGTGTGGTGTGTGTGATGGTGTGTATGGATGTGAGGGTGTGTATGTGTGTGGTGGTTTGTGTGGTGGCATGTGGGTGGTGTGTATGAATGTGGCTGTGTGCATGTGTGGTGGTGTGTGTGTGGTGCGTGTGGTGTGTGTGGTAGGTGTGTGATGGTGTGTATGTGTGTGGTAGTGTGTGTGTGGTGTGTGTGGTGTTGTCGGTGTGTATGTGTGTGGTAGTGTGTGTGTGGTGTGTGTGTGTGGTGGTGTGGTGGTGTGTATGTGTGTGGTGGTTTGTGTGGTGGTATGTGGTGGTGTGTATGTATGTGGTGGTGTGTGTGGTGGTGTGTGTGGTGTGTGGTGTGTGTGATGGTGTGTATGTGTGTGGTAGTGTGTGGTGTTATGTGGGTGGTGTGTATGTGTGTGGTGTGTGTGGTGTTATGTGGGTGGTGTGTATGTGTGTGGTGTGTGTGTGGTGTTATGTGGGTGGTGTGTATGTGTGTGGTGGTGTGTGTGGGTGGTGTGTATGTATGTGGTGTGTGTGTGGTGTGTGTGATGGTGTGATGAGTGTGGTGGTGTGTGGTGTGTGTGGATGGTGTAGCATGTGTGTGGTGGTGTGTGTGTGGTGGCATGTGGGTGGTGTGTGTGGTGTATGTGGTGTGTATGTGTGTGGTAGGTATGTGTGTAGTGGTGTGTGGTGTGTGTTATGTGTGTGTGGTGGTGTGTGATGGTGTGTGTGTGTGTGGTGTGTGTGTGGTGGTATGTGGGTGGTATGTGTGGGGTGTATGGTCCATATGTGTGTGGTAAGTCAGGTGGCAGTGTGTGTGGTGTGTGTGGCTGTGTGTGTGGTGGTATGTGGGTGGTGTGTATGTGTGTGGTGGTGTGTGGTGCATGTGTGGTGGTGGGTGTGTATGTGGTGGTGTGTGTGTGGTGTGTGTGCTGGTGTGTGTGGGGTGTGTATGTGTGTCGGCATGTGGGTGGTATGTGTGTGGCAGGTGTGGATGGTGTGTGTGTGTGTGGTGGTGTGTGATGGTGTGTGTGTGGTGGTGTGTGTGGATGGTGTGTGTGTGTGTGGTGGTGTGTGTGGTGTGTGTGTGTGTGTGGTGGTGTGTGTGGGGTGTGTGTGTGTGGTGGTATGGGGGTGGTATGTGTGTGGTAGGTGTGTGTGTGGTGGTATGTGGGTAGGGTGTATGTGTGTGGTGGTGTGTGTGGTGTGTATGTGTGATAGTGTGTATGTGTGTGGTAGGTGTGTGTGTGGTGGTGTGTGGGTGGTGTGTGTGCTGTGTGTGTGTGGTGGTGTATGTGTGGTGTGTGTGTGCTGTGTGTGGTGTGGTGTGTGTGTGGTGTGTGTGTGGTGTGTGTGTGCTGTGTGTGTGATGATGTGTGTGTGTGGTGGTGTGTGTGGGTGTATGTGTGGTGGTGTATGTGGTGGTATGTGTGTGTGGTAGGTGTGTGTGGTGGCAGGTGTGGTGGCATGTGGGTGGTGCATGTGTGGTAGGTGTGTGTGTGGTGGTATGTGGTGTGTGTGTGGTGTGTGTGTGTGGTGGTGTGTGTGGGGGTGTGTATGTGTGTGGTGGTGTGTGTGTGTGGTGGTGTGTGTGGTGGTGTGTGGTGTGTGTGTGTGTGTGTGTGCATGTGTGTGTGGTGGTATACGTGTGTGTATGTGTGTGGTGGTGTGTGGTGTGTATGTGTGTGGTAGGTGTGTGTGTGGTATGTGTGCTGTATGCATGTGTGGTGGTATGTGTGTGATGGTGTGTATGAGTGTGGTGGTGTGTATGGCACACAGCAAACAGCCGAATCCCCCTTTGCTAACTTTAGCTGCCATGGTCCTGTGGTAGGGAGAGGGGTTTCCATCGGAATCTCCAGCTGTCCTCATTTCCCCATCTCGCTCTAATTAGCAACATGCTGGCTGGGAGGGGGCCTGAGCTCACATTCTGTTCTCTGCCCTCATATTTTTAACTCTGTTTTGCAAAGAGAACACTGGGTCACTCCAGGCCTGCAGGTGGGGGTGGGGAATGGGTGTGGGGTCCATCTTCCCTTTTTATTTTCTGGCTTCCAAGGTTCTTGAGCCCAGGAAGAATAAGTGTGTGTGTGAAGGGGTGTGAACTACTTGACCTTTGTCTCCCTGACCTTGTGGTGTCTGAGGAGGCCGAGCTCTTTGCAGGCAGACGGCACTTTCCTGATTGGCATATGTGTTGTGTGTCAGAACAGTCAGTAGGGGTAGGGCTGGGATGGGCAGGGAGAGGCCTGTCTAGGAATGTTCCCATTTTATTTTGGTCTCCTCCCCACCCCTCACTATCCAGCTTTGTCAGTCCCCTGCAGCTTCCCTCGCACCCCTCCAAGGGGGATTTCTGCCCATCCTTAAACAAGGAGGGACACTTGTTTCCAGGCCTTGGCTTGCAGTCAGGGGAGTGCACAGAGGATTCTTTTCTGTGCCTCTCCGAGTCCTTGATGCTGAGGCTTACTGGAGGGATGGGGGAGAAAGGCTGGCCTGAGACCAGCTTGCTTACCTGGGCTGCTGTCTACCTCCTGGGGTTCCATTTGCCCTCCCCTCATGCCCATTGCCCTCTCCTGCCTGCAGGCTCTTCGGCTTTGTGGCCCGGAAGCAGGGCAGCACCACGGACAACGCCTGCCACCTCTTTGCTGAACTTGACCCCAACCAGCCGGCCTCTGCCATCGTCAACTTCGTCTCCAAGGTCATGCTGAACGCCGGCCAAAAGAGATGAACCCTGCCCCTTGCCCAGGGCCAGTGCCTTGGGGAAGGGGCGCGTGGGGAGGGGACCCGTGAATCCTGACCACTCTTGAACCCAGAAGGAGGACTTTGGGCCAATTTCGGAGGAGAGAAGAAAGTGCAACGTGGGGAGAGGGAAGTGAATTGCAGAGGGGAGGGGGAAGAGAGAGAGAGAAAGAGGGAAAGCAAAGGATGGAGGAGAAGAACTTGGATTCCCCTGGGTAGATGGAAACTGCAAAAACCCAAAGCCTCCAAAACTAACCAGGTCCGCCTAACACCCCCTCCCTACCCCGAGAAGATGGATGTCCTCAAAAGAGAAGGAACAAACCTCCTTGGGAATCCACAATTTTGGGGGGTGGGTGGATGGAAAAGCTCTGTCTCCTTAACTCAACTGCTTTGCAAGGGGAAATCAAGCTGGGAGAATCTTTTTCTGGCCACCTGTAGGGTAGGTTGTCAAACCAAACAGAGCCACCGTGGGACATCAAGTGGCAGAACTTGTTTGCTTGAAAGTATCTCAGACCCAAGGCACCTCAGGTCTCTTTGCTGTGCCTTCACTATATTGTCATGTGGGTGTGTGTCTGCACCCACATCCTCACACATTGATCTAGTTCAGCCTTTATCCACTTGAATTATAAACAGCTCAGCTTGTCCTTGTCCCATGTGTTTGTAGACACACATGCATATTGTCCAAAGATTAGGGTTGGCGGTGGCAGGGCAGCAGGGGAGGGACAAACACCCAAGCTGTGGGTGGCAGAGGCTCTGTGCCTGCACCTGCACTCTAGTGGCCCTGGGTGCCGCCAGACCCTTCTCCTCTGCAAAGACCCCAGCAGGAGTGGGAGGGTCTGCAATGGCATCACCCTGTCCCGCCTTGCCCAGAAGACTGGAGCTTTGGTTTGGGGAGGTAGAAATATGTGTGTCCATATGAAGAGATCTGTCAGAACAGGCAGCTGTTGAGCTCGGGGTGTCTTCCCCAAGGCCTGTGGCTCCGCAGCAAGGAAGGCAATTTGCTCCTGCTGGGGCCCTGGACTCTGCCTTAGCTCCCACCTCTCAGCCCTGTTCTTGGGTTTCATGCCCCAGGACCAGCCTTATCTCAGACCTGCTTACCTGCATGATGCCTTTTCAGGGGCTGGGGATTGAGCCTTCCTGCTCTGCCCAGCCCTGTTCTATTCTGCAGGGTCCCTGTGTTGGAATTCACCCTGGGGAACCTGCTTCCTGCTCAGTGAGGCTCAGGGGAGAAACCTGGAGTCCTTATCCTCCCCTCTGTAAGTGTTTTAGGGTCTGGCTTTTGCAGGCACCCTCTGACCTCAGCAGAGCTCCTGGGGCTGCCACCTGTACACCGTATCGCCTACCTACAATGCCAAACCTCGCTGTCACCCTTTCTGCCTTGGTTTCCCCAGCTGAGCCGCACTGCCCATGCAGCAGAGGGCAGAAGGCTTGCACTTGGGCCAAAGGGCCTAAGGTCCACTGGACAGTTGGGAAGACACCTGACCACCATTTAAGGACTCTAAGCCAGAATGGAAAATTCACCAGGACTCCATTCTTAAGCCTTTGGGGGTCCCCTAGAGAGAGGCATTGTACTGATATATAAATATTATATAATATATACATGAGACATACTGACAGAATCTGTAAGCTAATAAAATGTAAGAAAAGGTTAAAAAAAGAATAGGTAAATTGACAAGAAGTATTTATTGTTTTTCCATATTGCTTTATTGCCTTCCCTGGGTATAAACCAATTCCTATCCCTTTTTACATATGTAAGTAAAGCCTAAAGTGTAGGGGGCCTTTGTTCTTGGAGCAGCCAGGGTCTCCTTGCCCTGGCCTTGGCCTTCCCTAGACTGTGTGGGGCTCAGTGTTGGGAGGGGTTGCATATGTTCCACCCTTTGGCCCCGTTACTTTTCAGCAAGCCAGGGGCCCAGCAGTCAGCCCCCAGGATGTGTGGGGAGCTGTCCCTGCCTCTGCAGGCCTGAGCAAGTGTGTGAGCATGCGGGGACATGGGTGTGTATGGCACACATAGGTGTGTGTGTGCCTTTTGTATTTTTTCTCCTCGAAGGAGCTGTGTCAGTGTGGACTTTCTATTTCAGGGAGTTGGAAAGGAGGGTGTCTGCAGAAGGTGGAGAGCAGGGGCAGAGGCCCCACCGGCCACCCCCTGCTTCCCAGAGTGAAACCTTGTGCCTGGTGACCGAAGTCCCTCCAAAGTGCTCTTCCTTCTGAGATATTCAAGCCAAATATCTGGGTTTCCCCCTCTCCTCATTCCCTAGCAAACCCCAGTTATCTCCCAAGATAGGAGATATTTCCCATCTCCTTCCTTTGTAAATATCTCATCTCCCACTGGACAGCCCAGGAGCCTCCTCCTGGCATGGATGTTCTGTCCACACTTGAGGCTGGGCGGTGTATCAGACCCTTCAAGCAGCCTGGCTGGTGCCCGGGACTGAGTCTGGGGTCAGCTTTCATAGTCGCTTTCCTCTCCCTCACCACCCACCACAGCCCACCTTGCATGCATGACCAGCCCCTCCATTCCAGCCTGAGCTGTGTGTGCCCCTGTGGGAGGACCCGTTGATGCCAGAAAGCTGGTAACTCCCTCCCAGCATCCCTGCGGAAGGAGTCAGTTTCTGAGAGTGTGGCCTTTCAAGGTGAATGATGAGAAAGGGTTTCCTAGTCCCCACAGTGGCCCCACCTCTGGGCCCCGCACCAGAGCCCTCCTGTGTCACAGGGAGCTGTGCAGCCATGCACACACCTACGCACACACACCACTCCACGCACACACCACTCCGCACTGCAGTATATTCTTGCCAAAGATTTCCTTTAAAAGAAAGCACTTTTACTAATTATTATTTTGTAAATGTTTATCCTCTTCTGTCTTCTCCCTCCCTCAATCTATTTTACTGTTGTTTATTGTTGAATCTGTGTGTCAGCCAGGAGAGCGCTGTCTGGCCTTGAACATGGGCTGGGATGGGAAAGGGTCTGGGAGAAGATGGGCAAGAAAGAGCCTGGGAGTCATGGCCATCGCAGCGACGCAGACCCCAGCAGGCTCAGTCCCATGCTGCCGCCAGCTGTCCAGCTGGGTGTCTGGAGGGAACAGGGCAGAGGAGGGTCATGTCCTTTCAGCTGGGGGAGGGGCCCAGTGAGCTCCATGTGGCTTTTTCCCAAGGGGAGCAAGAGGGAAGGATTGGGCGAGAAAACAATGGAGAGGGGACAAGAGAAGGAAAACAGGGAGGAAGTGAGCGGTTTGATCAGCCTGCTAGCATGGTGTTCTGGCTCTCTTATTTAGCCAGGCACTTGAGGGACAGATACATCACATTCTAAGATTGGGAAAGACCTTTGAGCCACCTCATCTGAGCCTCTCCTCCAGTAGCTCTGAAAGCTGTGGACACCAATGGCCAGGATTCCTTCTCCCCTGGCTTTTGAGGCCCCCTGGGTCTTCTGAGACTGGCCAGGAGAGGGATGGAGGGGCCAGTGGTTGTGTGAGAGCAGGAGGGGCAGTCCTCCTGGACAAGCGTGATGCCCCTATAAAGGGCTCTTAGGAGGTTGGCGAGTAGGGGATTCTGCCTTGTTCTGATGAGCCTGTGCAGGGGCTCCAAGGGAACATGCTGTCCAGGGAACACAGAAGGGTGGTGAGTGTGATCAAATCTAGTCTCACTCCCACTTTTAATGTCACTCTCACTTTTGTCCATCACTCCTGCCTCCTGGATCTTCTCCCACTTTTTTTTTTTTTTTTTTTTTTCCAGTTTTAGGACCTGGAAAGATCATGTGAGTCAAGGGAGACACCCAATTCTACCCCCACACTCGGGGTCCTCCAAGAGGTTAGGGGGCGGAGTCCCAGAGCAGCCCTTTACCCCAGGTCCAGGCCCTGGAATCCTGAGACTTGCGTTTCCTTGGCCAGTGGTAACACAGGACGTGTGTGTGCATGTGCAAGTGTGGATGTATGTATGTGCGTGTGTTTTGCTCATCTCTTTAGGGAACTTGGGGGTAGGGGTTGGAGGTGCTGGGCAATGGAACTTCAAGTTCAATGTTGCCCAGCAGTGAGGGGAATCGGGAGGTGAGGCCTGTAGGGCAACCAGTTGGTGGAGTCTCAGCGATGGCCCAGGTAAGGAGTGGGCCACCCAGAGGGGCAGGGTGGGGGCCTTGTCCCTCTTGGCCCCTCTGTCCTCAAATGTCCAAAATGTTGGAGGACCTCTGTTCATATCCCACGCCTGGGCTCTTGCCAGCAGTGGAGTTACTGTAGAGGGATGTCCCAAGCTTGTTTTCCAGTCAGTGTTAAGCCGTTTGCAACTCTCCTGTGTCTGTGTTTGGTTTGTGCGTGTGTGTGACAGCACATCAGTGTGTGCAGGCTGCGTTTCCCCATTTCTCTCCTCCCTTCAGACCTGTCATTCAGAACAAATGTAAGAAATCCCTTCCCACCACCCTCCCTGCCTCCCAGGCCCTCTGCGAGAGAAACAAGATCACCCAGCATCCTCCCCCACCCCAGCTGTGTATTTATATAGATGGAAATATACTTTATATTTTGTATCATCATGCCTATAGCCGCTGCCACCGTGTATAAATCCTGGTGTATGCTCCTTATCCTGGACATGAATGTATTGTACACTGACGCGTCCCCACTCCTGTACAGCTGCTTTGTTTCTTTGCGATGCATTGTATGGCTTTATAAATGATAAAGTTAAAGAAAACTCTGTGCCGTTATCTATCTGTGTTGTTTGGACAGGGGTCTGCCACGTCTCTGGTGGGCGAAAAGGGGCCTCTCTAGAGATCCGGGTGGGCTTCAGTAGTGCCTCTGGTGGACAGCTCAAACCCTCCCAGCAGCTTCCCCACCATCCGCATTGTGGTTCCGGTTCCATGTGTTTATTCATTCAGACTCTTTCAGCTGGAAGAGAAACTCAACTCAAACTTGTTTAAGAAAAAAATAAGTTTCTTGGCCCGAGTGACTAAGAAGTCCGGGCCTAGCTGCATTTAAGAGCTCAAATGGTAGAATCAGGAATTCGTCCCCATCACTTGGGTCTGAGTTGGCTTAACTTTCAGGCAAGCTGTATCGGAGTGGCAGTGCCCCCAGATCCTCTGGGCTTCCATCCCACCAGCTCGATAGCCCTAGGAGAAGAGGGCTCTTTTCTCCCAATGTTCTCAGCAAGAAACTGGGACACGCGCTCACTGGCTTTGATCTGGATCCTGCCTGGCTCATATGATTAACTCGAAACCAATCACTCTATCCGGATCTGGGTCACACAACTGCCTCTGGAGCCTCCTGAAACTACGGAGACTGAGAATGGGGAAGTGGTTGATCCCAGAAGGGGTGAGGTCTGTCAGAGAGAGGGGCAACATCTCTCAGGGCTGGTGCCCATCAAGTGGCAAATGTGTGGTTCACTCGTGCACCAGGCCCAGGGTTCCTGGGTGAATTCTTTGGAATTCAGAAAGTTTGGGAGTGGGACCTATTGAGGCATGCCTAGCACAGCACAGGGGTCTCTGGGAGATCCAAAATACTCAATGACATGGTGCAAGCTCTCCCCTGAGCTCACCGTGTGGCTGGAGGGGGGCTTGGATCAGCTTATTTGAGCAGGTTTGTGCTGAGCCTTCAGTGACCCTCATGGTCCTCCTGTGGATGGCCTTCTCAAGTTTTTGGGTCTTGGGATTCCTTTACATTCTTAAAATTACTCAGGACCCCAAAGGGCTTTTGTTTAGAATGATTATATCTTTTGATCTTTTACCATAGTATAAATTTTGATCTTTTACCATAGTATAAATTAAAACTGAGAACACTAAAAATACTTAATTCACTTCCATAGCAATAAATTCTTCACATGTTAATATAGATAGCATTTTTGTGAAAAATAATATTTTCTAAAACAAAAAGCACTGGGTGAGAAGGGTGACTTTGCTTTGCATTATTATTATTATTATTTTTGAGACAGAGTCTTGCTCTGTTGCCCAGGCTAGAGTGTAGTGGCACGATCATAGCTCACTATGACTAGGGAACCTCCTAGGTTTAAGTGATCCTCCCACCTCAGCCCCCAAGGAGCTGGGACCACAGGTGTGTGCCACCACACCTGGCTAATTTTTTAATTTTTTTTTTTTTTGTACAAAAGAGGTTTCACTATGCTACTCAGGCTGGTCTCGAACTCCTAGGCTCAAGCAATCCTCTCTCCTTGGCCTCCCAAAGTGCTGGGATAACAGGCGTGAGCCACCATGTGCTTTGCATTTTTTAAAGGCCTATTCGTGTCGGGCTTACCAGGAGACAGCCAGATTCTTATATCAGTTTCTGCATACAATCTGTTGCAATATCACCCATCATGGGCCTCTGGAAAACACTGTATACTTGTGGGAAAATGAGCAAAAAAGTCAAATAATGGCTTAATAGCATTATGAAAATGGTTTTGACCTCAGCACTCCTGAAAGGGTCTCAGGGACCCCTGGGGTCCCGGATCATACTTTGAAACCTGTTGCTATGAGGGATACAAGACACAGGAAACTCAGACCCTGTCCAAGGTGGAGACTGAACATGTCTTGCACCCTGCTATCTGTTAGATATCGTCATGCCGAGTCATTCCAACAAAACCGTGAAGTAGGCACTGTTATACACGGAGACATATAAGGAAACCGATGCTCTGAGAGGTCACACAGTTTCTAGCTGGAAGAGCTGGTACTCGGCATCACCACTGGTGAAGGCTGGCATTCAGCCAACACCTGCTAAGTGCCAGAGCCTGTGCTAAGCACTTGGGTATCATTTTCATGCACGTGCACCTGAGAGGTAAGGGCTATCCTTGTCCTCATTTCACAGATGAAGAAACTGCAGTTCAAAGAGGTGAAGACACTTGCTCAAAATCACAGAGCCGGGGCAAGTGGCCCAGCCAGGCTACAACCCAGGCGAGCTGACTTCTCAGCCAGGCTCTTCCTAGCTCTTGCCTCTTTCTCCGCTCTCAGGGCTGGCTTCGAGGGGAGAGATACACTCTGATGAGCCATGGGCAAGCGGGAAACCAAACTGATGTCACTGGTCAGATAGGGGGTCACGGGTTAGGCTGTAGGCTGGCTTCCCAGGGAGTGGACCAGGGCTCCTGGGTGTGTGATGGGGGAGGTCAGGAGGTCATCCCCTGACACTGTCCAGCTGCGGAGGGATGTAGGTACCTCGGGGGTTGGCCTGGTACAGGGGAGAAGTGTCTGATGAGAGAGACAAGCTATGGCCTGTGAGCCGAGCTGATGCAGCTGGCCTTTGAGGGGACTCAGCAGTGTGGTGGCTGTGCTCCTAGTACCTCAAGAAGGAAGTGGACGGGGCTGCAGCAGAGGGCTCTGGGTGAGGAAGGGCAGCTCTCCAGACACACATTATCACACAGAATACCCAAAGGACCTTGCATTTTCTTTCTTTCTTTTTTTTTTTCTTTTTTTTTTTTTTTTTGAGACAGACTCTCACTCCATCACCCAGGAGGCTGGAGCGCAGTGGTGCGATCTCAGTCTACCGCAACCTCCGCCTCCCAGGTTCAAGTGATTCTTTAGCCTTAGCCTCCTGAGTAGCTGGGATTACAGGCACACACCACCGCTCCTGGCTAATTTTTGTATTTTTAGTAGAGATGAGGTTTCCCCATATTGGCCAGGCTGGTCTCGAACTCGTGACCTCACGTGATCCGCCTGTCTCAGCCTCCCAAAGTCCTGGGATTACAGGCGTGATTAAAGGTGCCCAGCCACCTTTGCATTTTCTATGCCGAGTGTGGCCCCTGTACCATTGGCATCAGTAGCACCTGGTGCTTATAGGAAAGATAGGACCTTTGGCCTCACCCCAGGCCTGCAGATAAGAATCTTCATGTTAGCCAGGTCCCCAGAAAATCTGCATGAGTGCTGAAGTTTGAGCTGCTTGCATGTGTATCTCTTGCTGGGACTAGGCCAGGCTGAGATGCTCAGCCCCGGGCTCTGCCTCAACCACCTGAAACATGAGGACCCAGTGTGGGTCTCCATGGGAGAGAAGCAGCCCTAGACCTCACCTTGGGTGCTTGCCTTATTGACAAGATTCTGGAATCTCTGCTGCCTGGGGCTGGCTGAGGCCAGTAGGGACCAGTCCTGGTCCTGATGAGCGGGATAACTCTGGTTGCACAAGGCATGCAGGGTGTGAAGAGAGTCCAGCCTTGGAAGAGGTAGGAACGTCAGCCGGGGCAAGGAGGGGCAGAGGGATGGTGGCTACGAGGCTCTCTCTTGTTTCAAGCTCGGCAGGAAAGTGCTGAAGCCTGGGCCCCACCCTGGAGATTCTGAGTGGGTCAGTCTAAGGTCCAGCCTAGGCAGTGGGAATTTTAATCACTCCTGGGTAACTCTGTGCAACCCAGGCTGAAAGTCACTAGGAGCCCTCTCCTCAGATTGGCTTCTTCTAGGTCAGGGGTGTGTGTAGGCCCATGGGCACCTGTGCTTGGACGGGTGGGGAGCTGAGGAGTGGAGGAAGTCACAGTGGGAAGAAGTCCCCCCTGGACTGGCTTAGATCCCTGCCTCGCTTTTTGGGGGTGGGAGGATACCATCCCCTCCCATCTGCAGTAGAGCCCACTGGTATTTTAAAAATTCCAGGCCTCAGATGTCCCTCCTCCTGCATCCCGTGGGCTGTCTAAGAGGGGAGGAGCCGTGGCCATATCTTCATGGGATTCACCCCCAGGGCCTGCGCAGCTGGGTGGGAGGGGATGCCTGGAAGAGGCTTTGCAGGCTGCTTCATTTCAGCTCCACGGGCTTTACAATACCTCCTGGGGTGGGGGGCGGGGTGGTGAAATCAAAGTCTGCCTTCCTCTTTTAAGAAACTGGTTTTTCTGGAATTTTCCCTGTTAGTTGGTGAAAATGCCTATTTATTAGTGCTTAGCAATTTACAAGCAGTCAGAACATGGGAAGGATATGGCCCATTCTAAAAACACTGACAGTAGGTATAGGACTAAAGACACACCTTCCCCCCATACACACAGATGCACACACACAAGACATGCAGACACACACACGTGCACAGAGACACACAGGTACCTGTGCATACACATGCCCGCACAGATGCACACAGGCACACAGATGCACACACACAAGACATGCAGACACATACATGCACACACACAGACACAGACACACATGCGCACACAGAGACACAAAGACACACGTGCATATGCATGCACACACAGTTGCACACACATAGACACACAGATGCACACATGAACACATACGCATCCACACAGATGCACACACACAAGCACACATGCATACAGACACACAGATGCACACACATACAACATGCAGACACACACATGGACACACAGAGACATGCAGACACACATATACACAGGCAGACACACAGACACACAGAGGCATACACACATGAACACATGCACACACACACAGATACACACACACAAGACATGCAGACACACATGGACACACAGAGACACGCAGACACACATATACACATGCACACACAGATGCACACACATGAACACACATGCACAGAGACACACAGATGCACACACACAAGATGTGCAGACATACAGGCCCACACGTACACACACAGACACATGTACACAAGAGACCTAGTCCCTCGGAATATGCTGCGTCTCCACACAGGCATCTCCTTTCCTACCGCCTTCTCTCCAAGCATTCTGGTATTCAGCTAACTGATGAGTCAGTCCCAGGGATCATGGGGTCATCAGTGGGGCAGGGAGCTTCTCCCACAGTGAGCTGACCCCT